ATCCTTTCTAGTATGCTATAACCCAGATTCTATCATCGGGTTTGTCGTTCTGAATCGCAGCGGCTTCCTTTTCGCTCGCTAGAAGGTCGTAGATCCTTTTCCTTGCGTGGTTCTTCCTATACCTGCAGATCTATCGTCGTTATAATAGATTCAGTAGTTTTCGGGCCCCTTAGAGGGCTCTAAGCCGTTTTCTAACTCCGTCCTAGCGTCTGGATAGGCGTCCCTATCCTCCTATGCCTCTTAGTCACCGTTCTATAGTCCAAGTCTCGGGAGTTCATCGAATAGCTGTCGAATTTCGTTGGCTCTTTTTTCTTCCTATCGTCGTTCGCAAGGCGTTATCTATCTTTATATATATATCTTGCGTTTGTAATGCTCTTGGAGCTTTGCTTATATATAGATTAAGCAATCCTAGCTCTTGTACTATCGAGTGCTATTGGGCCACCGCTGGCAGTCTTCTGGCTAGGTTCTTCGCGGTATCACCCTGATTCTATCGTATACGTTAGTCCTCTCGACCTTCTATAGGAACTAGTCGGCGCTAGTCCCTGTATCCTAAACCTATAGGGCTGGTTAAGGTTCTCTATTTCGGTCGGTAGGCCTATTAGGCCAAAAATCGTTGTCGAATTTTGATTGGAAATAGTATCGGCATTCGTATACGATATACTGGAACCATAGGATATAGATATGGTCGTATCGCTAGGGTTAGTGTCACGATTTGACCACATGCAGTGGCCGGTGGGGCGGACAAGGGTATGTCCGCAGCTAATCATTGTACACAGGGATATGCAAGAGCGCCCGCAGCTCTGATGAGCATATGTAGGAGCGCGCGCTCACCTGGTGAGCGGATGAGCAGGATCACCTAGGCTCACTGGTGAGCCATGGTGAGCGGACCAAGACCAGCTAGTATATAGTCATTCGTTACGGAAGGCTCTGGGAGTCCTCCAGTGAGCAATACAAGCAATAGCCTCTACCTATTGTGCAGACATTGCGACCAGCATTGTTGTGAACCTTTTGGCTTCACCGAGACCTACAGTCCGACCAGCAGTTACCTTCGACCGGCGAACCCTTTCAGAGGCAGGACTGCCTGTGGTTTCGTCACAGTTAGAGTCGAAGTACGTCTTGTTTATAGGGTTTGTAGCGCAGGCTGAATCCAATCTAGATATATACTGCGTTGCTATCCCTAATGCCGTTGTACGGCTTCTTATTCTAAAAAGTGTCCTAATCTTATAGTTCCTACCCCTTAAGTCTTCGCTGGTTCTAGGCCTTCTAATATTCAGCCTCGGGGTTCTTAATTCTATTATTTCTCCTATTCTGGCCTTGGTCCTATGCCAGTCTATCCTACAAGTTTGAGTGGTGCTCTTCCTAGACCCTGACCAACTTGGCCTTGATAAATTCCAGCTGGCTTATAGCCTAAGCCTTTTCTTTTGTAAGTCTTCGGGTAACTGTTCGAAGTTCGGCTTGTTCTTCCTTAGCCTCCTAAAGGCGTTAAGCGAGAAAGATAGGGTTTGGGTCAATAGGTTTATTGTCCGCTTGTTATATCCTCTATTGACCTTCTTCGTTTTAGGTCAACTGGAATCCCTAATTTTCTATAAGTTATAATGCTATGGCGGCGGCAATATTATAGCCTATGATAGGCTCTTCGAATATGACATAGGGGCTGTTGCTTCCTAACTAAGAGGAGTCGTTAATACTTCCTTCGGCTATGCCCTGGTCAATTGCGTCGTCGAAATCATCCTTGGTATAGCTTGCTATAGCTACTTTAACTACGTAGGTTGACTTGTCGATTATAGCGTTTTCCTTGCTGGGCACCTGCTTCTAGTTCTTCTTGCTATAGTACTCCCACTTAAAGTGTCCTTTCTTGCCGTAGTTGAAATAGGTAGCTTAGGACTTGTCCTTCTGTCTTTTTTCTTTACGCTAGGTGGCGTCTATATCCATTGGTCTAGCATAGGTACTATACAATATGCTAGGATATTATCGCTTTTTCTTGTTATTGGCCTTGACGAATATAGGCTATATTCTACGTCCCTTATATTGCTGGCGCCTGGCGTAAATTCGATCGTCGATACAGATGGCTATAGCAATATATTCGTTAAGCGTATCGGGTCGGTCCTTTTAGTATAGTTCATCCTTGACTTCTTCCTTTAAGCTATCGTAGAACAACTATATAAGGCCTTTGTCGTTAATCTCGTACCGAAGTAAGCCCTAGCAGAACTATATAGCGTAGGCAGCCGCTAACTTTGTCTGCCTTAGGCGTACGAGTCGCTCCTATATATAGAGCTTCTTATTATAGTCTCCGAACACCTTCTGGATTTCCTGCTTAAATTTATCGTACGATTTGAAAATTTCAATGGTAAAGTCGTCCTAAGCATCCGTACTATTGGTTAGCCAGTCCTTAAAGGTGGGTTCAAATGTCATGAACTAACCTGCAGAGGCCGGTGGGGGCCGACCTGCATGGTCAACGGGCGGCGCCCGTACCCAATCATTACGAGGAAGAAAGAACCAATGAGGATTAGGGAAATCAGGAACAATGCCAAGAACGACTGTTCCTGGGGAACAACGCCAAGAAACGTTGTTCCAGATGGAACAATGGGAACGACAATTGTTCCAAATGTTCCAAAGATCTAGGTACGGGATACCTAGGGGAGGAAGCTGTATATAGTTCTACCATTCTGCCACTCATTCAGATGGCTAGCTTCCTCAGTGAGCAATTACAAGCAATAGCCCATACCTATTGTGCAGACATTGCGGCAAGCATTGTTGTGAACCTTTTGGCTTCACCGAGACCTATAGTCCGACCAGCAGTTACCTTCGATCGGCGAACCCTTTCAGAGGCAGGACTGCCTGTGGTTTCGTCACATCAAACCATCGAAGTACCTTCCCCTTAAGCTACAAGAAGATAAATATAACTTTGGCAGATTCGTCCGTAAACTTGTCCGGGTAGTACTTGAGGTAGGCCCTTATAGATATAAGGAATCTAGTAAGTCCTTCTTTGTCGCCTCTGTACTTAGGGGGTGCTTCGAGTTTAGCCTTGTCCTTGGGCTTGCCGTTATAGGCCTCGTTAATGAATTGCTATATATTGCCGTTCTCGGCCTCGAGCTAGGCGATCTTATCGTTGAGAGCCTTAAGGACCTGGGTGTTATCTTTCTAGGCCTTAAGCTAGGCAATCCTCGTGTTAAGGGCTTCGATGACCTGCTACATCTACTGCATAGTCGCGGTCTGGCCCTAGGAGCCTAGGGTGCTAGGTGTCTAAGGCGCCATGATGATCGATGTTACCTTCGATCTGAACCGTGACAGAGTCAAAGGGAGTGAGCAACGTATGACGAAACCACAGGCAGTCCTGCCTCTAAAAGGGTTCGCCGGTCGAAGGTAACTGCTAGTCGGACTGTAGGTCTCGGTAAAGCCAAAAGGTTCACAACAATACTTGCCGCAATATCTGCACAATAGGTGTGGGCTATTGCTTGTATTGCTCACTGGAGAACTCCTAGAGTCCTCCAGAACGAGTGACTATATACTGTCTATCTTTGGGTGCTCTTATATGCTCTGTAGAGCTCCCTAGAGCTCGGTGCTCTATGACTCTATCGAGAGCTTCCATTTCCTCGCGTTGATTGGCTTAGCTCCTGGAGCTCTCGTCTGCTCTCTAGAGCACCTTAGAGCTCCTTCTTATTGGTCCTAAATGATTGGTTCGGGTGCGCTCTACGCCACCCGTCGGGTTATCCCACCTGCAGCTGTCCTGTTGGCTTAATTCGTGACACTGGGCCATCCCTCCGTTCATCATCTTGGCCGCACAGTACCACCTCGCCAACTGGTATACCGAGTACAACCTCCTAGCCGACTGGCATATCATAACTACTGACAATGGCTGGACTACTAACGCAGTAGGCCTAGATTGGATCAAGCACTTCGACTTCTATATAGCGCCTCATACGAAAGGCAAATACCGGTTATTGATCCTCGACGGCTATAAGAGCCATCACTCGACCGAATTCGAGCTCTATTGCCAGCAGAACAATATTATCACGCTCTGCATGCCTCCATATTCCTCCTACCTCCTCTAGCCACTCGATGTTGGCTGCTTTGGGCCGTTGAAGCAGGCGTACGGCCGCCAGGTTAAGGACTTGCTATGCATGCATATCAACCACGTAAGCAAGCTCGAGTTCCTTTGCGCCTTTCGCGAGGCCTTCTTTGCCTCCATTACCAAGAGGAATATCCAAGGCGGCTTTATAGGGTCTGGCCTTATGCCGTACAATCTAGAGAGGGTGCTTTCCAAGCTAGATATCAAGCTTCGTACACTAACACCCCCGACCTCACGGCCTAGCACTATACAACCTTGGGTCTTCCAGATACCATATAACCCCTACGAAGCCGAGTCGCACTTAACGCTTATCAAGACTCGCATTACCAACCATCAAAATAGCTCCCCAACCTCGATGTTGGCTGCTGTAGACCAGCTTACTAAGGGTACAATAGCTATAATACACCAGGTGGCCCTCCTTCAGGCAGAGGGGGGCGCGTACGAGGGTTCGGTGCTGTGGTGTGTGCGGTAAGCCTGGCCATAATGCCCGCACTTGCCAAGAGGCTATAGAATCGTCTGATTCAGCTGCTTCTGATGTAATTATAGTCAGTTCTTAGTGTTGTTGTCTTGCAATTGAGGATAGTTGTTGTAGGGGAGTGGAGAGTGCGCAGCTCGCTTATATGCGCAGCTCGCTTATAAAATACGTTAACAGAAAAATGGGACTATGGCCCTTTATCCGGAAGGAAGCCACCAGGAGCTACCAAACTGAAGCTGTTAGGCTACAAAGAAGAAGTACCTATGAATACCGCAGGTACAGAGAATTACTAGCTGATTCATAGTGTTATACGTCATGTTGGATAAACTTCTCGGGCGTTTCGCCAGAGATAGAGCGAAAAGATCGGGCCTCTACAGTTTTTGTGGAGAATGCTCCGCGTTTCCAATAAATTCCACTGTTCTGTGTGTCACTGTGTTCGTGGGTTGAGCGATTTCTGTTCTGTACAGTATCTACAGTTTCGAAAATTGCATCCGTGCAGGTTCTATAGTGTAGCGGTTATCACTCCGGATTCTGATCTGATCAGGACATTCCGGCAACCCCGGTTCGATTCCGGGTAGGACCTCTCATTTTGAGCTCGATGCGACATGCAAATTTCACCCACAACCACCATATCGAACCTTTGTTTTTTTCTTTTTTGGCCATGCTTCATTTTCCCAGGTGTGAACTACCGTACGTAACATATCACGCATTCAAGGGACTAGTGGTTCGCTACCTTAGTGCCTTAACTCTCAATTACTATACTGATCCCAGTTCACTAAGCACTTTCAGGCATCATCGAGCTCCAACTCCGTCGATACCGGCGCGTACGCAAGCGCATTTTGCCCCCCGAAACGCTCGATAAGCCATTTCTGCTGAGCCCTCTGGTTGCCCTGCCAGCTTTGGGGGACCCAGTAGCCAGAATCGTCGAGCGACGTGCTCCAAAACAGATCGATCGAATTCAATGGAAGCTCGGTGGACTCGCGGTACTTCCACGCCTTCGGGACGGCCAGGTGGTACACCACAGAAATGTTGTAGTCAATGAGTACGGCCCGTTGGACGACCCGTGGCCGGCCCTTCCCGAGCAGCGGGTCCTCCGCCTCCGGCTCGAGCTTCAGCATGATGTTGCGGGGCAGCAAGTCGCGCTGGTCTATCCCGGAATGCTCTAGGCTCGCATCACCGTCGAGAATGCGCGCCAAGACGTCAAGACGGTGTTTCTCGGTGAAGCCCAGAGCCGCCGACTCTAGATAGCAGAGGTCGCGCATGCAGACGCCGTCTTTTGCGGCGTGACAGTGCAGGCGACTAGCTGTGGACCCCGGCCGTCTTCCACCGCGATGGGCCGCTCCACTTTGAGCGTTGCCTCTGCTGGCTTCTTGGGAACGGCGCTATCCGTGTCATCATCGGCTTCCAGAGGTGGACAGCTGACGACGAGCTCGGTCTGCGTGAAGGTTTTGAGATGCTCATCAGACGTGTCGTAGGGCGGCTCAATGAAAGGGTACACCGACGGCAGGCCGAACGGCCGAGGAGGAACGTGCTCGGTGATGGTAACAATGAAGACGGATGTGTATGGGAACGGCGACCGCTCCGGATCCTCGGGCGGCCTCCAGAAGTGAATATCGGACCACAGCGGCATTGCGGGACTCGGGAGGGAGGTGGTTAAGGTCAGTAAGGGAAAGGCAAAATGTCCGAAGAAGTCGAGGGGGAGTAACCAGCCAAGAGCTTCGTGGACAGTGTGTATTATGTTGAAGTGTGCGAAGTCTTTTCTCCTAGATTTAATCTCTCCTTTAACGTGCGATGGTCCAAAACTGAAGATCACGCCCAAAGGCTCCTCCGCTTTGATTACACAATTGAACGAATTGAGAAACGCGAAGACCAGTTGGAAGGCTGTGCTGATTACGAACAGAAAGTTGCAACTTGCAAACACTTATTATACGTGACATCCATCCCATCACGCTTCATCTGTTTTCTATTCTGTCGGTATTCGCCTGGCTCTCCTGTCTATTCTCCCCTGCCCCGCCCGGCTTATTCTAGATACCTCATCTCTCACTTTCCTCCTTGACTCCACCCCCTGCATTCCGCCTGCCTGTGACTGTCCGCCAGGCCGGCGGCAGCCGTCTCCCCATCTGCAGTTCCCATAGCGTCCTATCAAACCTTCCATCCTTCAGCGCTTCGGCGTCGCCGGCGTACTTGAAAGTTCTCCCCACGACCGGCTCCTCATTCTCCTTCCCGCTAGGAGCATCGGTGAAGTATATCTCGCAGAGTGCCAGCTCATATGCGTTGGTTTCGTAGTAGGCGAGCTTGAACTCTTCCTCGACCGACTGTACCATGTACGCACAGCCAGTAACGACGGCACTAGGTTCGCCATCCACCAGTGCCTTGTACTGGCCCCAGTTCGAAAGCGAGTAGCCGTAGATTTCAGCGCTTCGCAGAAGCGGCTCACTTTCTAGACCGAGAACCCCTTCAGTATGTCGGGGTTCATGAGAGTGCCGTAGAAGAAGTAATACGATGGTGTGTAGATGTAAGGGGGCTCCTCTGGCAACTCAAAAACATAGTTTGCAGGCATGGAGTCGAGCTTTTCGAGGAACGGTGAAGGCCGGGAGTTGTCGTCGACGGGGGGGGCTGCTCGAGCGCTAGCCAAAAGCGGCGGGAGAGGCGGCGGAGGAGGCGGACAGGTAGTCGTAACGCTGTTCGCGGGCGGCTCTGCCGAAGCCGACGACGAGAGGCTGGTCTCAGGCCCAGACATGATGTCGATTACGATGTAGGTTCTGGAGAGTCGGGCGAGGTTGCTGCAATTGAACAGGCCGAGGGCGCAGTATGTACGGCATTGTACGCACGGATTCAAGGTTGGCTTCAAGATGGGGCGCTTCAGCAACGACACGGGTCAGATTGTGGGTCCAGAAATACTCAAAAGTCCGGCAGAGCGCAGAGGATTGCCCCATGCCCATCATAATTTCTTCACTGCCCGCTACCCTTCCTATTGATTAACCTTATTCCCCATCGGATAACCCTTCGTGTCTCTCTTATCACTTGCTGACTCGTCTATTGATAGGGGGTATCGAGCTGGTCTCGCCCATCCTGGTCGCCCACCCTGGTGGCGCAGTCCGGCGTGAATCTGTGGTTCAGATGCGGCTGTTCTCGGGCGACGAAATCGGGATCGAATTTCGACGGATTCGAACACCATTGAGCACACGCACACTGTCCAGAGCACACATGGACGACAACGAAAAGGGAAGCACCAAACTCGGCAGGGCACTAGAGCGCTAACAGTTGTTCGAATTCCGAACAGCATGCCATGTTTTCTACACTCCCACTAGGAAAAGACCAGCCAGCTGAAATCTCCCTCCCACCGATTCCCATTGGATCACAGGGCACACTTCAAGCTCGTTAATTAACCCCCTTCACCGGTTCATGTTGTTGGCAATGTCAGCCGGGCTATCACCCTTCTTGCGCTTGGCTACGGGGTCGGCGCGCTTGAGCTTGGGCAACATGTCGGTGCCGCCGGTAGGCGAGTCTGTGCTGCTGGCTGCATTGATGCCCTTCATCATGTTGTTCGCGATGGTTGCAGGACTGTCGGCCTCGCTGCACCGCGCGATGGGCTGGGCGCGCCTGGGCTTCGGCATGGCGCCGGTGTGGGTGTCGGCCACTTGGAGAGTCTGTTGTGCGAGTTGCTGGACTACGCTTGTGTCGAGCTTCGGCAGAGTCTGCGTCGGGTTTCCGTTTGCCGGTTTGGAAGGCATTGTGCGATGGGTGGGCTGTCTGGAAGACGGATAGCGTTCTATAAGTCGACCACCCCCCATTCCGCCCACCCCCCATTCCGCCCACTTTGTAAGTCTTGGCGTCTAAACCACCCATCTTCTTCAACACCATCTATTACAGTCTGTTCAACCCACCACAATACAGGAAGCATCTGATTCGGGGCTTTCTGGCCTGCTCTCTTCAATGCCAGACTCTTCAATACGGCCAGCCTCAATTTGAGCCCGGTGGACCTGTTCAATGGAAGCGAACTGCTTGTTCGGATCCGGGACCACCCTCTTTCTTCTCGACGGCCGGGCTGCCTCTAACTGAACCTTCAGAGCCTCGTTTTCCTGTTGCAATTGAGCCAATTGGAAGTCCTTCTCGTCAAATGCCTTCTCAACCTTCCTGAATAAAAGCCGTCGTGTAGAAAGATCTTGCCGCCGGATAGCCAGGTTGGTTAGGTGACCGCGAAGGTCTACTTTCTTGCGTGGTGTCTGGAATTCGACCTCCTGAGCCATAGTTGTGGTCTGGCTAGGTAGCCTAGATGCCGGGGTCTGTGGTAGTAGTAGTGGATCGTCTTTTCCAAGCGCCTGGTTCGAATTTTCCAACAAAAGAGGGCTTATCAGTGGTTTCGCCATACTAAGAGGCCACAACCCGGATGCCTTCCACCCAGCTTTGATATTATGAGCTGTAATTGCCTCCCTGCGAGCCTTGACGAGGCACCGCAATATCAACTGCTTGCCTAATGCCGTAGTTTCTGACCAGCTGGTTAACTGGTTGAGGAGCTTGCGGTAGGTGTGCTTCAGGGGGGAGAACACTGATAAATCCAACGGCTGGAGGACGTGGGAGGTGTGGGCTGGTAAAAAGAGTAGTTGGATATTGTTGCTGAAGCACTCCCACATAAACTCAGTGCTTGTATGGCTATCGTGGCCGTCCAGTATCAACAGACGCTTCTGGGTAGGATCTTGCGGCTGGGTCCGGGGGATGAAGACCTGTTGCAGCCATTCCAACGCAACCACCCTATTTACCCAGCCTTTTTCAGTTGCAGTGAATAGCCAGTCCTTTAGTTCGTCCTTGGCGATAGGAAACCACTGCTGTTGAACACTCTTGCCCTTGAAAATAACAGCTGGTGGGAGTGATACCCCTGTTGCAGAGACGCACTCTAAGAAGGAGGTCCACGCACGCGAACCAGGGACTTTCCGTTGCACTGCGCGTGTATGGGCACTTCCAACTACCAAGCCGTTGATACCCTGACCTTCCATAAGGCCGAATTCATCAAAGTTCCAGCGGTTAGCCGGTAAGATATCCTTGATGGCTGGGATTTTCAGGAGTGGGAACCAGCTGCGGATAACCGAGTCAGTAGCGCCATTGATACGGGCTAAGTCGATCTTACGGCCTCGCTAGGTACGGAGGACCGGGTTCCTTCGGATAAACCGGTTGATCCAGCTCTTCCCGATAGTCTTTTCGGGTGCTCCTTGGGCCTGTAGAACCCGGCTGGCGAACTCCCGGATCTGCGCATGGGTTGGTGGGACACCTAGAGCGACCTGGGCTAAGACCCATCGCGTAAGATGATCTTCTTGTACTCGGCTAAGTGTCTGTTGCGGTTCGGCCGCAGTTGAATGGGTCTGAGTACCACGAAGGCGGTCGCGAATAGTAGAGCGTGGGATGCCGAACTCACTACAGATGCTTCGCAATGACTGGCGCCCAAGACGGTATTGCTCAACTGCATCTTGTATATCTTGCTCCGAGTAAGCCATCTTGAACTGGCAATCAGTTTGATACAAAAAAAAGGCCGTTTGGCCAGAGATTGAGTGAGTTATGGTAAGTTGAAGTGGTTGGGTTGAAAAAGCGGTGTGGACTTACAAAGTGGGCGGAATGAGGGGTGGTCGACTTATGTGTGGGACAAGTAGCCGTCAAGGCTTGTATTGCTTTTCAGGATTGAGATGAACTCTTTGTGAAACTGGATGTAGAGAGAGTTGTAGTACAAATATGTGACATTGATTGCAGCCAACGCGGCATATTAATGATTTTGATCACAGAGTCTCGGCCCGCATTAATTCCACTTCTGTAAGCTGTTGGCCTCTGATGGTCTCGGAAGTATAAGTTTTCAAGCTGAAAGACAGCGGCCTGGCCACCAGTCCCAGGGACCGAACGTAGAAATTAGCATTGAGAGTCCGAGGTTTCACAAGACCGAGCTTATCGGCCCCGAGTCAAAGGCAAAGTACGGCGAGGTGGGCCCGGTCGGCGCTCCGGTCCGGTGTCTTCGCCGCAAAGCATGCCACATGCCGCCAACCTAAAATTGAGGAGCTGAGACCCGCTGCTTGAGGGGGCCTACGCAAAGAAACAACCATGATGCGGCGTAGCTCAGTTCCGTCTGCTACTCACAAACCATCGGGCGTAATGCCACGCATTTATTTATCAACCGATATCCATTACCAAGTCCAAAGTCAGTGAGGTCTTGTAACGACTAAACGCAAAAGAGAAGTCAACCCTCAAAATGGAAAAGCCCTGACTTCGCCCTCCCGGCTCAAAGCCAGCCCCCCTCCTCACCTGCTGTCCATGCTTCTGGTCAAGATAGTCAAGCAGCACATCCCCGTACCTCTCCCTGCCCTTGTACCGGCTGACGTCGTCTCCCCAGCTGCGAATGGCACTCGCCAGCCGCCCCGGCACATAGTCCTCCTTCACAATCTCGGTAATCGGGAGGAAATATGTCCTGATGGTGAACACAACCCCGCCACTCCGAGGCAACCGCCTCAACGTCTGCCGCTCTGACCGAAAATAATGGTGTTCGATCGCGCGATCCTTCTCGGCCGTGCTCCAGCCGACCATTGCATCGTCTTCGGACCCGATGCTCTCGCTCCACGCGAGATTGTCGTCAACCTGCAAGAAGTAGTTGTGCCGCGCCACCATCTCCTCGGGCTTCACGCGGCGGAAAAAGTTGGCCATCCCGCGCTCCAACGTCTCCCGGAACTGGGGCACGTGGCCAGAGGTGTGGATCCCGGACAGCGCCATGCCGAACTTATCCTCCAGCCGCCAGAACCCGGGCAGCAGGATCGCGCCCGCGAGGAGGTAGTACTGCCCGTCGGCGCGCTCCACCATGATGGCCAGGTCGTCCTGCACCAGGCGCGCGCACATCTGCATCGGGTCCTCGGCCAGCGGGTGCTGCGCGACGTCGAAGCGCTCGCCCGACCACAGGTTGTGCAGCACCCCCCCGTCGGGCGTGCGGCGGTACAGCGAGGGGTAGCGCGCGGGCAGGTAGTCGGCCAGGTCCTGGAGCAGCTCAAGCGCCGCCGGGTAGGCTTCGGGCGCCGTCTTGCAGCACCGGGGGCCGCGCTCGCGGATGCGGAGGGCTTTGGTCGCGTGGTAGCGCGGGTACTCGTTGTCGAGCTCGATCCACTCGGCGTGCTTGACGCTGCGCAGGCCCATCGTGACGTGGTATTTGGGGCCGTAGCGGAAGGGCCGGTAGGGGAGCGGCCTCGTGTGCTCGATGGACCAGTTTGGGTAGGCCTCCGGCGTGGGCATCTTGAAGTCTGAGGTTGTCCATCTGCCCGGTTCTCGGGGAGGGCGAGCTGATACAGGCTGCTTCGGCGGGCAGGAAGTTGGTTTTGGTGTTGAGCGACGGGGATTGAGGTACGCTGCGATCGCGATTAAGAGGAGGAAAACGATGACAGGCACAAAAGAAGTAAACCCGGGTTCTTCGAACAGGTTGGCGAGGATTGCATGCCAGAAACTCTGGGCTCTGTTGGTCGAAGCCATCTTGACTTGTCTTCGCGGAATTGGTATGTGGTTCTTCAGCTAGAGCCCGTTCAAGTCCAAGCGGACGGCGGGGTGCCAGGCTCTTGGATGCTAAGTTACCCAAAGTGCAATGAACGTGAACTCAACAGGTCAGCAAGTTCAGAACTCTCTCGTTTTATGTCATGTCAACCAGGCGTTGCATTCGTTATGTCACTTGATATCCAAGTATACCACTCAGCTGAAGCAACCACTTATCGACACCCGGGACTCTTTTACCCGATACGGACTAGAGTGTCGTACAGGTAAAGGTGCTTTCACGTCCGGCACCGAGATCCTCTCCGGATTTGCCTCACTATATGCTTCCACCCAGATAGCCGCAGATCTCTCTCGTTTTGAGTATTAGCATGTATCCTTGGATGCCATTCGGCGCCACAGCAAACCGTAGAAATGGTATTGTACGATTCTTTTCCAAAGTCCCTGCTTCAAGTTATTTCAAGGTGTATCCGTATCTCTTCATCCGAGAAGAACAGTCACTAAGGCTGAGAACCGACCAAGATACCAAGGTCAGAACCTCCGGTGACATCGGGAGTTCCGGACAGAAAGCCTGGCCCGCGTTCCAGGAGAACCCAATAGATAGGAGACTACACGACGTTCCCTACACCACGCAGCTCAAATCGCCGATGTATGATGAGCAAATCTAGGTTCTTACACTGCTGTATGCATAATCCATCAACAAAGCCCCAATCCGGGTCACCGCATCTCCCTCGCGAGACCCCACACCGTCTCAACCCGGGAAGATACCGTTGCACTCATCACCAAACCCCAGCTTCATCGCAACTATTCGGAAATACGTAGTGACAGCAGCTTCCAGTACTCGCAGACGTGGCTGATAATCCACTCGGAGGTGATGGCCCACGATCCGGTACATCTGCGGACAGCGGATAGAGCCCGCAGGCCCGGCATTAGGCCTCCTGTTGGTCCTTTGACAAAGATATCATCTAACGGAGTCCCACCGATGTTTCCTAGTACCAGCTGCGCGCCTAGGAGCGAGTATGCGCCTTATAGAGCTCGTCACCTCCGTTTTCAGGGGTAATGCAGAACTGCGTGTCGAATGAATTGCAAATGCAAAGCCCAGATTCATCAATTTTCATAATCTATAGACCTGTGACTATGGATGAGAATGCGGCAAATTTTCTGGAGTCTCCTCTGCTGCCTTACCGTCACTGCACAGTATAGTAGTCAAACATCGCCCTTGTTCATGTTGAGTGGTCACAGGGGAAACGATCAACTATAAGTCCGGTAAGAGTTGCAGCCGTGACTCCTTGCAGTGCCATAGCTGGCAAGTATACGATTTACTCGCATGCACGCTGCTAGAAGCCGGAGCTGACTTCTCAGCCAAAAGCTTCCACGGACGGACACTCTCGTGGTTGGATCTTCCCATAGGAGCGCTGCGGGCTGTATTGTACTTGTACAGCTAATCTTACGTGTCGGCAACTGATAATATGGTGCCGGATGAACTGGGCTGTAACACATTCTGCCTTAGTAGGAGTGTTAGTGCATTGGGCGAGTACCGGAACAGATGGCTGACGCCCATCTCCGTTGTGTGACCTTTCCGGAGGTCCTTTACCAAAGCCATCATCAGCATGTGCTAACATAGTAAAGCTGACATCAATAGCTGGCTTCGGTTTCGTCGTGATCAATCCACTCGGAATATTCCGTAACTCAACACTTCCTCGATTTGACTATCATTGGGCTCGCAGAGATCGACTTGGTTAGCTGAAGGACTCGCAATTGGCGTTTGGATACTCCGACCGGCAGCAATGAGCCCTCAACGACAACCGCGGGTCCACTGTATTCGCTCTAACACATTACGTCCAACATGGTTGATGCGTGCATAGAGGAAACCCCATCGTTGAATATTGCATCGGTCGAACCTCGAACCGGGCCCGAAGACCGGGCATTTGCTAGATCATATCCCCACCCTGGTATGGACCGGAGCGGATAGTGGATCCCCGCTGCGGGGCCCCGCATCCCCGGATTCCAGACCAGCGGCTCGTGAATGTCGCCGAAACTTTGTCGCGGACAGGCCAAGTAGCAGAACCGAAACAACATAACTGTCTCGATGTCGTTAGATTTTCCCCTGATAGCATATTCAGGAAGCTTAATGTGCCGGAGCTGTCTAGACGCTGTTTCTCCGGAGAGTTGCCGGAAATCGTCAGTGGATGTGGGTCGTCGATTCAATGCGGCCAGGCTTCAACAGCTCAATCCCACCCTAACTGAAACGGAACCCTCGGACCCGACATCAGATGCTCTCGGGATTGGGTATATGACCGCCGACTGTGATCCACGTACGCGTAGGATGAGAGTCTCTCCAAGGAATGGCCCGTTCCACGCTTCGGGGGCTCTGGCTCTGCGGTTGCGGACCTCTTCCCTCGATTCATTCTGCCGATCACTCTGTGAACACTGCAGCAGAGCCCCTCAGACTAGGCCCGGTGCCGAAACAATCGCCACAAACACTGCGACCTTCCCTTATATGAAGCATCCCGGCATCCGATGAATCTCCTCGCGTTCGTCAAGCCAAAACCTACCACCGGAAAGTACGGCTTCCTTGAGACATGTTGCGTTGATGCTGCGTACCCTGCCGGGCGATGAAGAACGCCAAGAGTTCTGAATCAACAGTGTAACGACTTGGCAATTCGGAGGACGTTGGGCTTTCTGATGCCAAGCGCGGCCAACGCGGCAGATGACGCTTGGCGGCGATCTGAATAACCGTGTGAGAGATAAGCTGAGGATCGTTTCCCGACCATGACTGGTTTGGTTTGGCTGGTGGCAACCGCGAGACGACCGGCTTTCCTGAATAACAGGGTCGTGTGCTTCTCGCAAGTTCACCATGGACCACCGGTTGCAGGACATCGTTGAGGTCATGTGTCAGTTGCGTGGTGAATACAAGCCCAGAAGTGACTTCCCGCCAGATCCTTGGCGCCTGTGAAGCCGTTGAGGACAGCTTTGGTGGCGGCGCGAACAATCGTAAGGGACCGCACAGTTGCCTCCCGCGCCAAGAGTTCAAGTCGGAGCCATCCGACACGTCGACATGTTTCGCCTTTCGGGTTCCGTCATTATGAGCCTGGCCAAGACGCTTGTGCCACTCATGGCCGAGTCGAAGGACGTCGTCGCGACAATTAATCGGTTGCGTGGGCGCACAGCCAAGCTGCCATAGCCGTTAACGCGCGTACGCAGTCGTGCAGTGACGGGCAAGTGCCGTATGTGAACTTGGAGGATTGCGCAAGGGGGGCCTCAGTGGTTGTCGTGTGCTCATCTTGGCGCGGCGGACGGAATCTGATAGGAAGAAAAGGAGCATGAGCTTGCAATAGGAAGACGAGCTGGAAAGGCTGTGGCTCAGCTTACGCTTGCACTTCGACTGCTCTTGTAGGAGATGTCGCGGCACTTGCCGAATCGGGCCGCGATTGTCGATGCCGAGAAGATCTGCGTCGAGGATGAACGTCTTGGCAAAGTGCCCCAGCCAAGATCCATCTGTGCGCCGGACTTGCGGCAAGGCAGTTTGATGAGAAACCTTCGTTCTTGCAGGCGTTATTGTGGTGAGAAATGAGCAGAGGAAACGCGGAAACCATGGAGCTTTTGTCGAGCGGGATGTTCCGTCTACTAGTAAGCTACCTAAGGTACTAAGCTTCCGAAAACGGCAACCAGCTGTCTTTGCAGTGACGAGACTCGGGCGCCGAATTACCTCGAGGCCCTAAGGTAAGGCAGTGTGTACACAACAAACCAAAACCACGGCAAAGACTTAATAAATGCAGAGTGTGGGGAGTTGGCTTCAAAGAAATGCTGCTCTCGCTACAACCAGCGGGTGAATGCTTATCTGATGCATCGGCTCTCGAGGACGCAAGCGCCAAGATTGCCTAGCGCCTTGCAAGTCGATGTTCCAATCTGATTTACATTGCTTCATCGGTCGGTACAAGGCCGCCAAGACACAGACTCGGGAGGGCCAAGGCATGGTGCGCCGTGCAACTAGTGGTACGCTCACAATAATCGTGCCATATGGTCACGGACATACCTTGAATACCTTACCTATCTACCTTAGGTTTTCGCCCCAAGTACTATACGTTCAATCCGTTTCTGTATGTTGCCAACTTGCCACTCGCGCTGATTGGATCCAAACATAGCGAGGCTCGTCAGCACTTAAGACACATGGTCCCCTCTCAGTTTCCAACCAACCCGGTTTGCGCCATTTTCATCCTTCCTCAAACTTAGTCCATGATTGTGAGCCCAGCATTACGACTCCTTCTCCTACCCGCGAAAACACAACTCTGCAGGACGTGTCTTCGTTGCTACTTCTCTGATTGCTGCTCGCCTCGTTGCTTGTCGTTGTCCCAAGAACGCCAGCAGCATGGGTTCCGTGCTGTCTAGATGCGCGTCAAGAGGATCTTTGGATACTTCTAGGCTCTCAGAGAGGGGGGAGAGGTTCCTCGACAAGCAGCCAAATTGGCTCGTCCCGCCGACATGGTGCAGGTCAGAGCGCTGCCCACATCAACCAGTCCGCTACCGCACACCAACACCGTATCCTAAAGACGACAGGAAAAGGACCGAAGAACACGGCAACACCGACACTACGGTAATTTTGGGAAAGACATCTGTCGTCGACACTCCGCTGGTCAGGCATGTTGACATAGCTGCTGCGCGTTCTCCTCGCCGTCACACTCCAACCCATCCACAAAAGCCACGCATCCATAAGCCACAAAGTACGCCCAGGATATCCTGGGAACCGCCACCACGATTGAATCGGTTTGAGCGGGTGGCATAAGGCACGGCACGACCAATACGAGGGGTGGAGGGAACGCGCGGGAGAGAGACGGAGGCCAGCCGTCCTGGCAGTTACCACAGTAACCCAGCGTACCGTCACTCACCATTGTACGCTAACCCGCAAACACATCATCCGAACGTCACCGCGACCGGATCATACGACTTGCCTGTGGCACACAGACCACCCGATGAACACGAAACCAAAACAGAAGCCAAAACCGAAACCTTGCCCGCGCACAAACCACGCAAAATCCCAAAGGAGACGGAGGCAAGGAGAACAAACAAGCATCAGACCCGAAATGCCCAGCGCACCTCTGCCGATCGCCAAGCAACACAAGGAAGGGCACCACGGAACCCAACCCCCAGAGCCAAGCAGCCCCAAAAGCCGGCCAAGACCTCTTGTCTGAAATAGCCTTTAAAGATACACTATGATGGGGACCATGGGGTTGCACCACAGGCATCTAAGTGCATTGTGCAGGCATAGCCCGGCTCTTTCCTGTATGTCTCCGCCGTGGCTCGTCTCCTGTGGCCGCTTGGCATCGCGTCCCTGCCGCCTGGGCGCATTTTCTGACCTTCCTTTTTCTACTCTTGTCTCCTCTTCGGCCCCTTCGGCTGTGGCGTTTTGCGCGATTTCCCGACGTCCCGGGGTTGGGGACTTGGCCGCTTCGGCTTGGCCGCTGCTGCAGGCTGACGGAAGCTCTCGATTGGTCTGATGGAGTATAAGATGGGGAGGGCTTCCGGGGAGGTCCGAAGGTCGTCTGGATTCAGCGGTCGGAGTACTGTGTTTGATATACTTAGTGCTCCAGGGATGTATGCCATACGGATATGGAGGGATAGGGAGGGGAAGATGGGTGGTTTTGTTGCGGGCTATATTTGGGTATTCCTCTCATGTCCCGCTCTTTGCTTGGTCCTCAACGTTCTGGGAATTATTCAGCCGCCTGTTGGTTGGGTCAAGAAGCGTTTTAGTGTCGCCTGGTTAAAAGGCTTGTACTTTAGACTGAATATTCGCCTCTCTGTACTTCATCGTTCCCATTCGTTGTGGTTTGAGAACCGTATAGGAATGTATGACTGGCAGGCAGACAATTGATCATTAATGACAGAACCACCTCCGTCTTGAAGCATTGGTCATGGAATTGAACACGCGGGTTCTTGCGAATCATGACGGTGGGTGCAATCTGGGGTTTCACACGCACATAATTCCCCGCGGCTACTTAGTAAATCTCTACTCTGGCTCAAGCACCACCGACGTTCATGTGTTTGACTTTCGATTCAGGTATTTGCGCACTGCCTCTCATCGCAGTGAGGATTAGCTGCCCCCCTTATTCCAAGCTTTTAGCCCTTTTTGCCCCCTTACTCAAATGATCTCGCGCCGAATTGGTGTGATTGAGATTTCATCCTTATGTCAAACCCTGGACCTCGCAGCGGGCGCCCTCATCTTACGCCTACTTGAGGCCGCTCCGGTTCAAAATGCTTCATTGGAGCAAGGTGACGAGATGAAGCGTGGAAGGGGGTGATGAAAAGGGATGCGTGAATAGCTATCATGGATCAACACCTAGGCAAACCTTCACATACCATACCTCCCGAGTCTTTGCGTTGATGATCCACGCTAGCAACGTCGTCGTGTGGGCGATCCTAACTCCTGAGTGACTGGTTGAACTTGCAGCTATAAATGTACTGCGGCCGCGGTGTTCCCGCAGCTTGCCGTAGCGTGTTATAGGACCCCTTTAACTTCCGCCAGCAGTCTCGTCCTCCTCATGAGTCATCATCCTCTTCTCCATCCTCTTCTCCATCTTCCCCATCATTCTCCCCCTGCCCCTCTTCATCATCACCAGCAAGAAACTCAGGAGGAGGCTCCAAAGCGTCCAAGGCGTCCATGGCTGCATCGAAAGCGCGCACAACAGCGGGATCCTACGAATGGAGCAATGTTAGCAATAAAATCTTCCCCGGGATATCGCATGGAACCAACAAGCGCTTCGCGGATGACCTCCCTCATCCCCCGGAAGAGGAGGCGCGAAAACGCCAGGACGGTGTAGTACCGCAGGAAGAAGTCATGAAAGATGCCGGTCAGGCTGTCGAGGAACGGGCTCCACGTAATTTCGAGGTCCACGTGCTCCCGCATCCAGGTTGCGAGTTCTGGGTGGCGTAAACTGAGCTGAAGTCGCCGTCAGCGTTCATGATGATGACTCCAATGGCTCAAGGTCAGCCCTGGTCACCTACGATTTCGTATCCCTCGCGGAGCGGTTGCTCGACCCGCACTATCAGATAGCTGAACATCCTCTCGGTGAAAATCCTGGCGTTGGCCTCGGTGATACCGGCCTCTCGGATTACGCGATCCATGGCCCGCCAGAAGGTTGAGTACGGGGTACTAGGCACATCAACACCGTTAACCGCGAAGGTGAAGGGGAAGAGAGTCGAGCAAGCGAATAGAAAATCGGGACGCCAGAGAGATTGGCAATGAGCGACACGGAAAAGTCGCAAGGAGTGGTCGTTGACGATACGCAGCCGACTCGAAAGCGCAGGGGGTCAGGGGACATACAGGGAGAAAGATTAGCATCTGAGATAGTTGTGGATGGTGATGGTGCTGCTAGCGGCGTTGGTGATGGTGCTGGTGACGGTTGGGAGGCTGTAGAGGGGAAATAGAGTTCCGGCGTCCATGGTGTTTTTATGAAGACGACGGTCACAAGTGGTAGAATGTGGCGGCACTGGCAGGTTGAATGCAACTGCTTGAAGAAAGATCAGCAATACCCCAAAGATAAACTGTACGGCAAACATATAGAAGCGTCATGCGAGGATTTCAAACCTCTGACCGGCGGCGAGGAGATCCGTCTCTGGCTCTTATCAGTCAAGGAGAATGGGAGGTCAGTCTGGGCCGAGTGGAACACAGTTCTAAGTCACCAGAAAGTCGGTTTCGAGGTTATTTCCTCCCTACGCGTTAAAACCATCTGAAAGTTAACTTGTCCGACAAAGAACACGCGTTGTTTCGTAATTTCTTCGCGAGTCATTGACCCGTGAGTTTGTGCTATTAACGTCGTTTTCTCCTTGGTCCTTGCCTCGTTCTATTGCAGATATTACCTTTTATCAGACTAAAGTATCTTTTTATTATACTCCTGTTTCTTACTCTACCCCTAAACTTTACTATACTTTCCTACCCCTTGAGCGTCATTTGCGTGCTTGCCTTGTTTACTCTCAAATAACGTGCAAAGTCCGTGGTTCCTTCCTTTCTATGTCGTTTCTCTCGACCGACTCTGGACCAAGGCATGGGCCATTAAGGCGACGAGCACCAGTGGTACCATCACAAACTTGAATGATTCCAATACCGCCCATCTCGATGATATGCCCAGAACAATCATCCATCGCTCTATCCAGACAAAGTTCGCAGACCTTCCCTGGCAAACATCTCAGCTACATGTTCTCGATACAAGGGTTGAAAAATCCAAGCAGCTAATTCGGTCGCTCGATCCATGATAGCACAGCTGAAGTCAACATCGATGGCAAATTCTGGAAATGGAGGCAACACTGCCCCAGGCTCCTGCGCGGTTGCACCCGTCAACCTAAAGACAAAAGCCGCGTCCGCCAACCCTGCACGGAGAGGAAGCGAGCCACCGAGAACCCGGTAAGCAGTCCAAATGCCCCGGTGGCTTAGGCGCATAGCGTCTCCTAATACGCTGCCCAACATGTCGCAGAGTCCTCTTCCTCTCAACAACCAGGACCGATCTCAAGGTCGAAGTCTGTCTTTTTACACCTCTTATTTCTTCTCGAGGCAGAGTTTGATACACAGGCCCAGGCCACCAGCCTCCATGAAGTCCTCGACGCTGCCCATGAGGAGAGCGGAGTGCTGTCGCACCGCATCCTCAAGGTCAAGGAGAAGGTGATGGAATGCACGGGCACCATGAGTGAGCACGCCGCCGACATCAGCGAGCTCAAGGTTGGCATGGAGGAGATGGCTGCTAGGCTTCTTATTGTTACACCCTTTAATCGATACGCGTGGGTGGCAGAGCCCCCGCAGTCTATCGCAGAGTACTCGACCCGCCGCAACCTAGTCATGGGGAACTTTTACTCGGCCCTCGTACAATAAATGATGACCGACCCCTACTTCGACACCGTCACCGACCGTTCGGTCTTGTCACGGTGGCCTCTGCTGCCGTCAAAACACATCAACAAGGTGGCGAGCTTGCCTGCGGCCAGCAGCTGGTCGACTGAACAGCTCCGTGCCGCTCGTCTCGTGGTTCGCAGCGCCACCACCCGGTCTGAGAGTGAGCCAGACCACGTCCTGCCCGATCTGCGGGAGCATTTTGGCGAAGCGGAAGCCGCCTGCAGCCAGCCACTCATCCGAGATCTCTTGGAGGGCCCAGCGAGGCCAACCTCGACGGCACACTGACCGATACGGAGGGTGTCGACTTGGACCAGCTTCGAGAATCGGTGCCCCTTATTGGGCCGGTCTTTATCGACAAATCCCTCCGCTCCAACGGCACATATCGGGATGTGACGGCCGAGGATATGACATGGCCGAAGACTTTCGACACTATCCTCAGCTCATGAGTGAGTGGGAACCCAGGTATGAGCGTTCCTCGCGTTAAGATCTCGGAATCCCCAGGAAACTACCTCTACACTTTCGATATATTGAACACGAGGATTGCGCGTTGTTATACGACGCAGACAGCCGGACTCTTAGAGTTACGCGGTCGCCAATCTCTTGGCTTGATCAGCTCAAGCATCCAAGGTCAGAAGAGGCAGCGCAGTCGGATGGCGCAGAAGCAAGGCAAAGACGAAGACGACTTCACGGAGGAGGTTGCAAATTTGTCGTCGAGCGCGTTTCGCTGCGTCGTAACTCCACCTCGAGACTCCGGCAAAATAAGCGACGGACACGGCAATATGAACGAGAGGCGGGGCAAGCTGAAACATGGACATGGCAAGAAAGGATTCTGTCGAGCTCAGACTCGGCCCGCAGCAAGACGACTCCAAGTTACCAATAGAAAACCGGGGGTTCATGCACTCCAATTGCACGCTGCTATCCTATGATACGCTAGCGAAGAGCAGTCTGAGAAATCCTCCACGACGTCCTGATTTGCTTGTGCCTGACGGAGCACGTCGTCCCGCGTGTTACTGCCATGGCCCTCCAGTTTGCCCAAGCGTTTGACTTAGCGGAGCTCATTCACAAGCAAGAGTACGGCCTCTCTAGCGAAACGATGTCCACACCCACGGAGAGGCCATCATTTATGCCTCGAATTTCCTGGAGTGGGACCAGTTCCGGGGTCGGCCTGAAAGAATATGGTGGCCATCGCCCATCCGGCAGTGAAGAGGACGCTGACGACGAGCGGTCGCCGCGTCTAGCTTATGCCTGCTTTCCGGCGCCTCGCCCGCACTTTACGTCCCTCCTCGACGCCGCGCGGCCAACCGTTCGCCCGGTCGGCCTGCTTTTAGCTCCCCGCCGGCCCCGCCAGCTCCACCCCCCCCCCCCCCCCCCCTCCTCCCCCCTCCAGGGTTCCGTGCTTGAGAGCTCCTGTGCCGAGAGTATGTTACCAACAGGCTACTATATTCCTACATAACCTTTGGTCCCTTGTCCCTTAGCACTCTCAGGAGAAACGAGATATTGCTAACAACAACCGGTCATTAGTAGTTACGGGCCGATACGGGACAAACATGTAGGGGCTTCGCGCCATTTGGCGCGTTAACATCGTGAACCCTGAGACATCGGGTCTCATTGCCCAAGAGGCCCAGCGCAGTAAGTGTCTCCCCTGTTATTCACCGGTGTTTCCACGTTTCTGTTGCTTGATTATGTTCAGGATGTGTCACAGTACATGGAACGTAGTTTTGATGCCTCCGGAGCTCTGCCCCCGGGCTCGGATCCGGTAGATCGGGAAAAGTGGGCCTCCTGACGAAGCTCCCGCCGGCGTGCCTAGGGCCCCTACTTTTGTTCGACCAATCAATTCATCATACCATCAATGAAGCTATCTCCAAGTTCATCGTCCTTTTCTGGTGGACGTACCGCGGAACAATCCCCAGCCGAACACGCCCTGTTTTCGGCTCTCTGGACGCTGGCTTCAACAACTTATCAACTCTGAGCTCATCCCCATTTCCTACACACCCGTCACACTCACCACTATTTAATCCACCGGCTATCGACCCTGCTCGAGTCACGTCACTGCCTGTTTCCCACTACACCATGTCAACTCAAGAGGACATGTCCCAAGCCGGAGGCCAGGACCGCGCCATGGTTCCCCTCCCCAGTTTCGGCATGTGTGGTCGTTTCGACGGAATGTCCTCGGCTGCCAGATGGCTGAGTCGTCTCCAATGGGAATTCACTCGAGCGGCCCCCGCCGGATCCAAGACTCCGAACTGGCAGATACTCCAAGCCATCGACATGTTGTGCGAAGGTGAAGCGGCGGTTTACCTGGACAGTGTCCCCGACCTCAAATCGATTGTGCCATAGTCACCCCTACCGCTCGAACCGCCTCTCTGCCGCGCCGACCTCGCCCTTCCCTGCCGCCCCGGCCAAGGAAAAGAAAAAAGAAAAGGCGGAGAAGAAGGAGGGAAAGAAGAAAGAGAAAGAAAAGAAGAAGGCTATAGCTATGCGCTATATGGCTAAGGAGGAGTCCGAAAAGGAGGAGCCGGAGAAAGAAGAAAGGGAGAGTAGTAGTAGTGTGAGATGCTCAGACCAGCTGTGGCGCATGGCCCCGTGATGTACCGCTAGTAGAGGGAGAGTGCCAATGATTCCATTCTATGAGCCCTCGCGAAATCGCAAACTCTGCTCCTATAGGCATCCCCTCTCTCCTTATATGCTTGCCACCTAGGCCTTATTTATTAGACCTTTTTAGGAAAGATAATGGTCTCACAAGGACTTGCAATACGCAAATTCTTAGACCAAGAATCCAAGATTTCTCTCGGCGCCGCGTCAGACCCTCTACCCTACTCGCTCCAGAGCCCCTTCAGGACGACACCGTCCTTCACCTTGACACCCTCTGTAACTCGTGTCCAGGTATCGACTCTCCAGATGTAAGCCTCCCAGTATCCGCCGTCTTTCATCTTCTGCACGACGTAGGCCCTACTCCAGAACGAGGCAGTCCTAGGAGCAGACGCATATTTCATAGCGGTAAAGACGTGAACGCACTCGCGCCTCTTCTCTCGAGCCAGAGCCGATCGATCCGCCTCTTCGTCGTCTTGTAAGACCTCCCAGATTGAGTCTCCCGGAGGAAAACGCGCTTTGCTTTTGTTCCAGAACAGCAGCACAAAGTGCGGGGGCCGCACATGTAGTTCGTTTTGTGTTGTGAGATGTAACGGGCTGAGCCCGAGGTGGGCCTCGGCGACCCTCGGCCACCCTAACCCTGAACTCTTGATCCCTGAACCCACTGGACGAAGCTATTCCCAGATTGCACCCCGGCGCGCCCGGACCACCGGGCGCGCCTCAGCTTATTAGCGGTTCATGGACCGCCAAGTTCTCTCGTCTTCCTTTTCTTTCTTCAACCTCAGTGTACTCGTAGAGTCGTCATCAACCAGGTTGCAAATATACTCGTTGACCGTTACAGCTCTCGCGTATAGTCCGCGAGGAACCGGCTGCAAAGACTCTGAAGACCGAAGCAAAGAGCACCTACGTTATTCTGCAACGAGCCTACCGCAAAGGACTGCTCCTGGAGAGAAACTTCGACAGCCTTTTCGAACGCTTGATGCGTATAGAGGCCTACAACGACAGTAGGTATGCCCATCGTGCCTCGCGGTGACGCCGCTTATGCCTCTTAGTTGCCGCAATGCGGAAGATTCATGCCAAACTTCCAGGCCATCCTGGTGAGGGCATCTGGACAACCGGCCCAGCGACGGGGGAACGACGGAGGGACTTAGTTTACTAACCCGGCTCACCATGGTACATAGCTGAAGGATAGTGATACATGAGGTAATATACCCAGAATCTGAATCGCCACTTCAAGACCAAGTGTTAGTAATTAACTAGGGCTAATAGAAGACTTCGGAAGGTATCAGAATAGGTAAGTAACTAAAGTTTAAGTTACACGTTGTCCCAGACCCCTTCTATATCACACTATGATAAAAAAAGGAATAGAGTTTTGGAAAGGGAAGCATTTCGCTATTGAGTCGAGTTCAACAACCGTATAACAGCGGCGTCCGGCCATCGTCATCCTTTGCCTCGCGATTGGCGCCCTTCTTGCGCAACAGCCGCACGACCGCCTCGTGCCCGTTCTGAGCAGCAAGCGACAGCGGCGTCCGGCCATACCTACCATCCTTCGCCTCGTAATCGGCGCCGTTGTCAAGCAGCAGCCGCACGACCGCCTCGTGCCCGTTCTGAGCAGCAAGCGACAGCGGCGTCCGGCCATACCTACCATCCTTCGCCTCGCGATCGGCACCCTTGTCAAGCAGCAGCCGCACGACCGCCTCGTGCCCGTTCTGAGCAGCAAGCGATAGCGGCGTCTGGCCATACCTACCATCCTTCGCGTCGCGATCGGCGCCCTTGTCAAGCAGCAGCCGCACGACCGCCTCGTGCCCGCTCCGAGCAGCGTGCGACAGCGGCGTTCGGCCATGCTTATCATCCTTCGTATCGCGATCGGCGCCCTTCTCAAGCAGCAGCTGTACGACCGCCTCGTGCCCGCTCCAAGCAGCATACGATAGCGCCGTCCAACCATTATCACCCTTCGCGTCACGATCGGCGCCCTTCTCTAGCAGCAGCCGTACAACCACCTCATGCCCGTCCTGAGCAGCGTGCAACAGCGGCGTCCGGCCAATCCTATCCTTCTCCTCGCGATCGGCGCCCTTCTCGAGCAGCAGCCATACAACCGCCTCGTGCCCCTTCTGAGCAGCGTGCGACAGCGGCGTCCGGCCAATCCTATCCTTCGCCTCGTAATCGGCGCCGTTCTCGAGCAGCAGCCGCACGACCGCCTCGTGCCCATTCCAAGCAGCGTGCGACAGCGGCGTCCGGCCATACTTATCATCCTTTGCCTCGCAATCGGCGCCCTTCTCTAGCAGCAGCCGCACAACCGCCTCGTGTCCGTCCTGAGCAGCGTGCAACAGCGGCGTCCGGCCAATCCCATCCTTCTCCTCGCGATCGGCGCCTTTCTCGAGCAGTAGCTGTACGACCGCCTCGCGCCCGCTCCAAGCAGCGTACAGCAGCGACCTCCGGCCAAAGACATCCTTCGCATCGCGATCGGCGCCCTTCTCGAGCAGCAGCCGCACGACCGCCTCGTGCCCGCTCCAAGCAGCGTATAGCAGCGGCGTTCGGCCATTATTATCCCTCGCCTCGTAATCGGCGCCGTTCTCGAGCAGCAGCCGCACGACCGCCTCGTGCCCATTCCAAGCAGCGTGCGATAGCGGCGTCCGGCCATCGTCATCCTTCTCCTCGCGGTCGGCGCCCTTCTCGAGCAGCAGCCGCACGACCGCCTCGTGCCCGTTCTGAGCAGCGTACGATAGCGGCGTCCAGCCATCGTCATCCTTCTCCTCGCAATCGGCGCCCTTCTCGAGCAGCAGCCGCACGACCGCCTCGTGCCCATTCCGAGCAGCGTACGACAGCGGCGTCTGGTGAAACGCGTCCCAACAAATGTTAGACCATACTGAATAAGCCTTCGAGTCAAGGCTACAAATGCTCGAGGCGAGAAGCACTGTGGCAGCATCATCGCTGCTGATACGGGCCCTACAAAAGTGAGTACCCCAATGCTTGGCCGAATAATCTAAGAGGGCATAGCTATCGCCGTAGTGGCCAGCTTCCACAATTGCTTGTGTTTGAATGTTGACGTCGTAGTTGAAGAAGTTGAGATAGCGCACGCTGAGCTCCGCAAGAATGGCGTGTGCATGGTGGACAGCGATGGAGCGGTGCCAGTGTGGCCCTGACGGAACAGTTGCGGTCGATGGCAGTTCGGCAAGGAGAAATTCTCGGGCAGTTTGGTGAAGGAAGTAAATCTTGCCATGATGGACTGAGACGAACAATCCACACCATGTTCTGAGATGCAACTTGAAGTCCTCTTCTTCCTCCAGGTCAAGGTCGTCAATAGACTGTGATTTCTCGTCTATGTTCACGGCAACATTCATCTCCGAGAGTGTTAACGGCCGGCTTGCTGCCAAGATGATGCTCAAGACCTTGCGAACCATCGAGTCTTTCTTAGACTTGCTAAGGATCTTCTCATACGCGTCGTTGACACTGAGCGGTAGCGTTGTAAGGGCGGACTCGACCCCTTTCAGCGTCTTTCTAAAGCCTTCTGTCCTCAAGTAGTTGAACACAAGGTACACCCAGAGGTACGTGCGGTGAGGAATTCCGAGCAGTCGTTCGGCCAAGCGATCTTTGATTTCTTTCTTAAGCTTTATATCTGTCGCTAGCTGTTCGACTCGGTGCTTGATGACGTGATTCACCTCGCTGCTGATAGCATCCGACTGTTCTTCTCCTGGTATGTGAATATAAGGAAAGGCGTCAATCAGTTCCTGGAAGTCCGATACGATGTGGGCGTATGGGCGGCTGGTCAGCAGACACTTCATCTTGCTATGGCCCTGCCTGTCTCTGTGAAATAGGCGTTTTAACGTCCGGACCAGGTCCCGAAAATCCTCGACGCGGCATTCATCCAGCGCATCCAGGACTAGAATCAAATGTCCCGTCTGCGGATCTTGTCCGGCCTTTTCCAAAATTTCCCATAGCGAGGATGTCGAGCGGATCAGACGTTCTCCGTACTCAGAATAATCCGGCATGGCATGTTCGATCAGAGAAGGCCGGTAGTGGAAGAGCTGGTGCAGCAACGCACAGAGTGCTTGATTGATGGTGTTCTGATCTTGGTCTTTGAAAAAGAAGTAGCAGATGGTTGCCGATCGAGGTAGTGCTTCGTCAATCAGGTGTTTGGCCAAGACCGATTTCCCACAGCCCGGGTCTGCCGACACCAGCAGTGGCCCTGAATCTCGCGCCAGCCAACTTTTGAAGCGCTCGTCATGCAGGAACCACTGGCATGTGCCTTCTATCCGGTCTTCCACGCGATTTTTGTACCACTCGTACGTCGCACCGTTGCTGTCATTGAGATAAAACAGTTGGTGACACTTCGCTCGTTTGTCAGATAGACCCTGCTTGGCCATGTCTCTCAGAACCTGGAGTTCTTTTTTGTTGATGTCCCGCTGCTCCCCTGCAATATCTCGGGCCTCTTCTGCAACTCGCAGCTTCCGTTCGGCAATGGACAGGAATTGTTCCATAGCTTCGAACGCGGCCGTACTCGTCTTGTTGAGTGACGTAAGCTTTTGCGTCGACACAAGCTCGTTTATCTGAGTCAGGTTCTGGTTGACGGTCACCTCCATCTTTTCGATCTCCGTCTTCATCCGTTCCCAATCTTCCAGCAGAAACATGTCTTTGGCGTAACCTCTGATGCGGCTCTGGTAGAATCGTAGGACACTTCGGATCTGAAACTCGAGGATGTGCTGATAGAGGACCACAATGTGTTCGTTGGCTTCCGCCATCAAGTCCTCGGTGACCCCGACGTCCTGGCCGAGCTGCTGCAGCAGAGGTTCGAGTGCGGCGTAGTAGCGCATCCGGGCAGTGACGTACGTGAATCCGCCACGGTTGGCTTCGTCCGCGGTCCTGGGGTTTGTAAGGAGCGGGAGAACGATGCAGACGCCGGCCCAGGCGATGGAAGCCTCTGGTGAAGCCTTGACGGCCTCGCCGATCCAGTCTTTTGCCCACAGAACGAAGTCTGCGGCCTTTGCGATCCGATCCGTGGTGTGTGTTTTCTTCTCTTCCATTCTTTGTAACCCGTGTGTGATTATTGCGTCCAGTTGACCCCGGCCGGATTGTCCGTCGAAACCGTGGGCCGCATTATCCGGTGGCATGGGCTGCGCAGGTGACACGTCTTTTGAGGCGTAGCCTGTCATGGGTCAATACCAACAGTGTATAATCTGTACGTGATGCGTACCCGTCTTCTGCGCCTCCTTCAAGAGCAATCCCTCGTACTCCTTCACCAGCTGCGGATTTTCGTTTCCCAAAGCGTCATATGCACGGTCCCAGAGCGACTGGGTCGTGGGTGAGTCTTTATGATCTGTGGGCTGACAGGTGCCTGGAACGGGATGGCTCGGGCTGTCCCCAGGGCGCCCGGTATCGTTGCCATTGCCGCTGGCATCCGGCTCTGCTCGTCTGCCTCGGTTACCTAGACGTCTTTGCAGTCTTTCGAGGTATCCTGCTTTGGCCTTCGAAGCGGAAGACCCAGCTCGGAGAGCCGGCTCCTCCCGCTTGCGATTCCAGGGCGCCATGCTGTGGCGGTGGGGCTTGGCTGGTTCTGGCTGGGGTGCAGGTGATTCTGGGCGAGGCCCGATAGCGACGGCGCGCTCGGTCGGGACGAAAGCTCCGAATATTCCAAGAGCACGAGAACTGGGTATCGCGGAAATGGACCGGATACGCTGCTGGGTAGGATGAGGGTAGAGCATGATGAAGGTTGGCAATCGCGTCTCTCTTCAGCCGCACGGAATGGATCGTTTGGCGCCATGCCTGAGGCATCGACTCGGACAAATGCGTCGCTAGATGTAACATCGCTGCACGGCCACTACTAACCACAACAATGCACCACTACTTAGTCGATCATTATACTAGCGGAACTATAGGGCCATTCAGATAGCTGTATCCAGACTATATGCTTATTTTTCTCTGTTCTGAGCGACTTTTGCGTGGGCTGTATATGTTCAAACTTAACGAGGCGCTGCCGCCATTGCAAACATGTGGCAGCCCTCCCAACAATCCAATTTTTCTCGGCAATCTTCCAATCCAATCAATCTAATCCAATTCAATATTGGAATTTTGACGCCCAATTCAATCCAATAGGACACCTGATTGATTGACGAATTGTCAATTATTGGCCGCTATATTATATATTCTCTTACTCCGCTATGCCTCGCTATTTAGAAGGCGCGCCGGACCCTCTACTGCTATATACAAAGGAAATACCGTACCGTTTAGGCCGGGTGAAAACCTTTGTCGGAAGTAATAGGAAAGACATAGTTCCAGTGTGACGAAACCACAGGCAGTCCTGCCTCTGAAAGGGTTCGCCGGTCGAAGGTAACTGCTGGTCGGACTGTAGGTCTCGGTGAAGCCAAAAGGTTCACAACAATGCTTGCCGCAATGTCTGCACAATAGGTGTGGGCTATTGCTTGTAATTGCTCACTGGAGAACTCCCAGAGTCCTCCAGAACGAGTGACTATATACTGGCTATCTTTGGGTGCTCTCATGTGCTCTGTAGAGCTCCCTAGAGCTCGGTGCTCTGTTGACTCCATCGAGAGCTTCCGTTCCTTCGTGCTGATTGGCCTAGCTCCCTGAGCTCTCGTCTGCTCTCTAGAGCACCTTAGAGCTCCTTCTTATTGGTCCTGAATGATTGGTTCGGGTGCGCCCTGCGCCACCCGTCGGGTTGTCCCACCTGCAGCTGTCCTGTTGGCTTAATTCGTGACAAACCATCAAAATAGCTCCCTAACTTCAATGTTGGATGCTATAGACCAGCTTGCCAAGAGTACAGTAGCTATAATGCACCAGGTGGCCCTCCTTCGGTTAGAGGTCTCTTCACTTCGCAAGGTCAATAAGGCACTAAGCAAGCGCCGGCGTGCCAAGAAAACACATATGCAGCTTGGAGGTTCACTTACTATATAAGATGCAAAGGATCTACTAGATCAGAACGCCGTAGGTGGGGAGGCAGTACAGGAAACACAGCCGGATGGTAGCGGTTCAGAGGGGGCTTGTACGAAGGTTCGATGCTATAGGGTATGCGGCAGGCTTGGCCATAATGCTCGCACTTGCCAGGAGGCTGTAGAATCATCTGATTCATCTATTTCTGATGTAATTGTAGTTGGTTGCTAGCGTTGTTATATTATAATTGAGGAGGGTGGTAGAAAGTGCGTCGCTCGCTTATCTGCGTCGCTCGCTTATCTGCGTCGCTCGCTTATCTGCGTCGCTCGCTTATCATGTACGTTAGTCAAATATACGATCTATGGCATAGAACACGGATCGGATTACTGCGCGATTAAGATAGTCTTTAATACCTTGGTCCCGGTACTGGAGTAGCAAGACCGGCTTCTATTCAGGAATACGCCTTAGAAGAAAATAAACACTAAGATTGCAGCAGAACTAGGCCTAACCCTGTCCAGGAGCATAGTATAGGAGTAGATAGACAGACTGATATTAGTTATCCTAGAGGCGGTCAAGTCCCTGACGCCGAAAGCGAAACCATTGCTATATACTAAGCGCTGGTAGGCAACCGACCTCATGCAGTTGCGCCGAATATACACGTACTGAAGAAATCGCGCCCGGGACGGACAACAAGCAGGGTGGCTTGTAGTGGACTTGGAAGAGAGGGCGAAAACCACTGCAAAGTAATACTACAACGCCATCCGGCAATAAAAGAAGAAGTACTGGGACGAGTTTCTGGCAGACAACAACAATATCTAGAAGGCGGCCAAGTATCTGAATTCCGGCGACGAAGCGGCGTTCGGAAAAGTGCCACAGCTCGTCAAAGCCGACGGAACAGTCACCGCCGACAACAAAGAACAGGCGGAAGAATTACTGGCAAAGTTCTTCCCTCCCCTGCCGGAGCGCATTGAGGACGAAGGTCCCAGGCCGCAAAGAGCTCCCCTAGCACTACCTCCTATCACCATAGAGGAAGTGGAACGACAACTGCTCGTAGTAAAATCGTGGAAGGCGCCCGGGGAGTATGGCCTGCCCGCGGTAGTCTGGAAGGAGACGTAGCCAGCGGTCAAACACCATGTCCTCGCATTATTTCAAGCCTCTCTGGAGGAGGAGACGCTGCCCACCCAGTGGCGACACGCCAAGATCATACCGCTCAAGAAACCGGGTAAAGGGGACTATACAGTTGCCAAAGCCTGGAGACCAATCTCGCTTCTAGCAACGCTGGGCAAGGTGCTGGAGTCGGTAGTCGCGGAAAGGATCTCTTACGGGGTCGAGAGGTACGGGCTCCTCCCGACCAACCACTTCGGGGCCCGTAAGCAACGGTCTGCGGAGCAAGCGCTCGTACTCCTCCAAGAACAGATTTACACCGCGTGGCGAGGTCGAAAGATTGTGAGCTTGATCAGCTTTGATGTTAAAGGCGCGTATAACGGAGTCTGCAAGGAAAGACTTCTTCAGCGGATGAAAGCACGAGGCATCCCAGAGGGACTACTCCGCTGGACAGAGGCCTTCTGCTCGGAGCGTACGGCAACGATCCAAGTGAACGGGAAGTCCTCTGAGGTTCACAGCCTACCGCAGGCTGGCCTGCCACAGGGCTCTCCCCTGTCTCCGATTCTATTCCTCTTCTTCAACGCAGACCTAGTCCAACGACGAATTGATAGTCATGGGGTGCGATAGCCTTTATCGATGACTTCAATGCGTGGGTTACGGGACCCACGGCACAGAGCAACCGCAAAGGCATCAAAGCCATTATCAAGAACGCCCTGGATTGGGAGAGAAGGAGCGGTGCGACTTTCGAGGCTGAGAAGACAGCAGTCATACATTTCTCTCGCAACTTATACAAGACGGACGCGCTACCTTTCATCATTAAGGGACAGACTGTCGAACCCCAGAACCATGTCAATATCCTTAGAGTGGTTATGGATGCGAAGCTGAAGTTTAAAGAACATATTTCGAGGGCCGCGTCCAAAGGCTTGGAGGCAGCAATGGAATTACGCCGACTCCGAGGACTGTCTTCATCAACGGCGTGTATGCTTCCACTGTTTGGATGCACGCATACAAGGACAAACTCGTGGGGCCTATCAACAGGGTCTAGAGAATGACGGCGCAAGCGATCGTGGGGACGTTCCTCACAGTGGCAACGAGTGTTGCAGAAGCGGAGGCCTATATCGCCAGCGCACAAGACCGGCTCTAGAGACGGGCCATTAAGCTATAGACGGACATTCACACCCTACCAGATACTAATCTACTGTATAGAAACATATCTCGAATGCGGAAGTTTAGGAGATAATACCGCTCACCGCTATACTAGGTGGCAGACGTACTTAAAGATATAACGATAGAGGAGTTGGAAACCATCAACCCGTTTACGTTGCTACTATAGGAAGAACCTTTACTAACCATTATAAACGAGCTAGCAACGATATAGCGAGATACTGATTACAATATACGCATTGCTATAAGCAGCTTAGTACGGAACGGTATAGTAGGGGTTAGTAGAGCTATTATGCTACCGGCATCTATATATAGTAGCCTAAAGCTTAGGACCTTTGCCTCTATGCTCGGGCAAGATTAGAATAGAACCTATACTCTAGAGAGCTTGCAGTAATAGAACGTGCTTTAAGCACGCTGCTAGCGCTTAGATCTACTAGCATCGTGCTATCAACGAGCAATAAGGCGGCCGTTCTTATACTCTAGCACCCCCGATAGCAGTCCGGCCAGTACTATATCCGCTATATCTAATTATATCAGAGCACTATAGAGAACCGGGAATAGAGTAACAATACAATAGATCCCTATAAGCGAAAAGGATGAACTCTTAAATATTGCCAAGGAACAAGCCAGATAAGCCTCTTAGGAGGGCGCCACTCTACAAACATAATCGCCCAGAGCATAGTCAACAACGTTTAATATGGCACAATCTAAGAGAAGCATTAGCGGGCACTTGCCAGAGAACATCGGACGTCATTCTAAAAGGGTCGACATAGCACTGCCAGGCAAATATACGAGAAAGCTTTATAACCGCCTATTATAGAAGGAAGCCAGCGTGCTCGCTTAGCTTAGAACAGGCATAGCAAGGCTCAACGCTTACCTCCACCGAGTTAGGGTAGCCCCATTAGAGCAATATATATATAGACAAGCAAGAGAGACCGTCTAACACTTCCTGTTCTAGTATAGAAAATGGACCCTATATAGAACCGAGATGCTCCAGTGCGTAGACACCTATAGAAGCAATATTTCTTTTTATCTCGGGGGGAACCCGCCGTCGGATAATAGCGACTGGACTCCGAACCTATAGGCCGTTCGGGCAACGGTACGGTTTGCAATGGCCACGGGCTGACTCGACGCGAACCAACCGCAGGCCGACTAAATCACCCTACCAACCATCCACCACTTTCCACCGAACCCGCACTCATCGCCTCGTGCCACGGAGAGCAGGCACTGCTTTAGCCGCCGAATAGGACGTTGAACACTTGGAGAATTGCCTTCAAGCTAGCCTACTAACAATCCTACTAACCCACGAGAACCCGCAGAGAAATGGCAAAAGAGGGAGTATAAGCTAGAATGATTACTGCATGGGCTATAAGGAGATCAGGACATATCTTGCGAAATGTATGGTTAAATTGGTATTGGTTGTCCTTTCGGGTTAAGCCCCCCGGGCGGAATAAATTGTGTGTGTGTGTGTGTGTGTGTGTGTGTGTGTGTGTGTGTATAGTGAAACGGCTCTCACACGCGCAATCCACGACCTCAGGGGGCTTCCTTTATTCAGCCGAAGAAGTTTGACCTTACCGAAGAAGATCTACGCCGTCGCATTCAGTGGTGCTAGGAATAGTTACGGCTACTGTCTCGACCCGAAAACTAGGAAGATATGCCTTTTCCTGACGAGACCTAGGCAGTTAACAACCCGATATAGAAGAAACGAGTCCTGATGGACAAGACGGATGACCTAAGCAAATACGCCTTGAAGAAAGGGAAGCCGAAAGTGTAGATGTCCTAGGGTTCGTTTGCCGGCCGTCGAAAAGGACCGTTCTTTGTGTGGGAAAAGGAGCATAGAGGTATCTATGCCGACAACTATATCCAACATATCCTCCCTTTGCTTGACCGCTTCAGCCAGGAACAGCGTATTGTCTTTCAACAAGACAATGCTTCAGCATATAGGGCACGGAAAACCAAGGCCAGACTCCAAGAACTAGGTATGAGGTCCTACGATGGCCACCTAAGAGCCCAGATCTCACATCTATTTAGAACGTATGGCCCTGGGTGAAAGATTGGATGGAGTGCCTGCCAGAGGAAGATATCCAGGAACTCAGTCCTTTGTAGTTAGAAGGGCGTTTGATAGAGGGTTGGTTGGCTGTGCCAGAGGATTGGTTTCTTTAGCTGGCACATACGATGCCCAGGAGGCTGCAGACGTGCCTGGAAAATGGCTATGCCGCCAGCGTCTAGATGCATGCGTGCGGAGAAAAGTCACTGAGCTGGCTGAACAGGGCGCAGACGGTCGGGGCCCTAGTCATCACAGAAGCCTTTCGCATCGTGGCACAAACATATTGACCAGTTCACTTAACTTCGCTAGTTATTCAATATTCTAGTTATGAAAATTCGAAGTGTAAGAATGTCAATCCGCCAGACTCATGACCTAAGACCAAGGTACTCCCATGCTGACATGCGCATGTAGGTCTATAATCTTTGGGAAGCCATAGGAGATTCTTCCCGTCAACGGTTATCCACTCCTTATCGACATATAAAGCATGATCTGAAACGCTCTTGTCAGGATATTGGCCTGGGGTGGATGCTGACGAGAGTCTAAGAGATCCATAGTCCGTCTTCAGATACTGGCCATCTTCTGAGAATGTTAGGCTTGTAGGGATTTGATTGATATCGAGCGTCTGCCGGTGTGCGCCCAGGTCAGCGTCCCAGAGCCGCACTGTTCCATCGACAGAAGCCGACGCCAGCGTCTTGCTGTCCGGCGAGAAGACCACAGCCGTAACAGAGTAGCTGTGCCCCTTAAGCGTCTGCCGGTGCGTACCTGTGCCAGCGTCCCAGAGCCGCACTGTTCCATCGTCCGAAGCGGACGCCAGCGTCTTGCTGTCCGGCGAGAAGACCACAGCAATAACAGAGTCGCTGTGCCCCTTAAGCGTCTGCTGGTACGTACCTGTGCCAGCGTCCCAGAGCCGCACTGTGCGGTCCTCCGAAGCGGACGCCAGTGTCTTGCTGTCCGGCGAGAAGACCACAGCCGTAACAGAGTCGCTATGCCCCTTGAGCGTCTGACGGTGTGTACCTGTGCCGGCGTCCCAGAGCTGCACTGTTTTATCGTACGAAGCCGACGCCAGCGTCTTGTCACTTGGCGAGAAGGATACAGCGCTGACGAATTCTCTATGCCCCTCGAGCGTCTGCTGGTGCGCGCCTGTGCCAGCGTCCCAGAGCCGTACTGTTCGATCGTCCGAAGACACCAATGTCTTGCCGTCCCGCGAGAAGGCCACAGTACTAGCGGCACCTCTATGTCCTTCCAGCGTCTGCCGGTGCGCGCCTGTACCAGCGTCCCAGAGCCGCACTGTTCCATCGACAGAAGCCGACGCCAGCATCTTACCGTCCGGTGACAAGACCACGGCTCTTATAGAACCGCTATGCCCCTCGAGCGTCTGCCGGTGCGCACCTGCGCCGGCGTCCCAGAGTCGCACTGTTTCATCGACCGACGCCGACGCCAGCGTCTTGCTGTCCGGCGAGAAGGCTACGGCCCAGACTGAATCACTATGTCCCTTGAACATTTGTCGGTGTGCGCCTGTGCTGGCGTCCCAAAGTCGCACTGTGCCATTGCTCGCAGCCGACGCCAGCAACTTACCATCCGGCGAGAATGCCACGGCCCAGACGATTCCTATATGCCCCTTGAGCTTCTGCCGGTGCGCACCCGTGCCAGCGTCCCAAAGCCGTACTGTTCCATCGTGCGAAGCCGACGCCAGCGTCTTGCCATCCGGCGAGAAGGCCACGGCGTTGACGGTTTCTCTATGCCGCTTGAGTGTCTGCCGGAGCGCCCCTGTGCTGGCGTCCCAGAGCCGTACTGTGCTGTCGTCCGCCGCCGACGCTAGCGTCTTGTCGTCCCGCGACAAGGCCATAGCTCTAATAGAGCCGCTATGCCCCTCAAGTGACTGCCGATGCGCACCTGTGCTGGCATCCCAGAGCTGTACTGTTCCATCGTACGAAGCCGACGCCAGCGTCTTGCCGTCCCGCGAGAAGACTATGGCGCAGATAGGTCCTCTATGGCCGTTGAGCGTCTGCCGGTGCACGCCCGTACCGGCGTCCCAGAACCGTACCGTTCGATCGTCCGAAGCCGACGCCAGCGTCTTGCCCGCCGGCGAGAAGGCCACGGCGTGAACGGGACCACTATGTCCGTTGAGCGTTTGCCGGTACGCGCCCGTGCCAGCGTCCCAGAGCCGCACTGTTTTATCGGACGAAGCAGACGCCAGCATTCTGCCGTCCGGCGACAAGGCCACGGCACCAACAGGACCACTGTGCCCCTTGAGTGTCTGCCGGTGCGCACCTGTGCCGGTGTCCCAGAGCCGTACTGTGTCATCGACAGAAGCCGACGCCAGCGTTTTGCCGTCCTGCAAAAATGCCACGGCGCTAACGGGACCGCTGTGGCCCTCGAGCGTCTGCCAGTGCGCGCCCCAGTGGTTCTTAATTCCCGCGACCTCCCTGATAAATGACAGCCTCTCTTTCCACTGCATGTTCCTAACCTCGCTTATCTTAGGACTGAACACGAGTGCAGAGCCATACGACTGTAAGGGAGTCCGTCCTATAATCGATCCGTGGCTACGGACAAACTTCTCGGCATCTTCCAAGAATCTAGCAAGCTGAGGACTTGCAGCCGATTCCTGGAAGCGATTAGTTTTGGATACAACGGCAACGGTCATGAACATACCTGGACAACTTGGAGTAGCTTTCTTATCGATATTACCCCGTCTGAGAGTTTTCCTAGGAGAGCGAGACTCTCAATCCAGTGAAGGAAATGATCCTCAAAAAAGCCGCTGATATCCATAGACAATTGTTTTCCGTCCTTTAAGGTCATTTCACCCTCTTGAAAGTGTGTCGCCCAGTAGATGCATGCATAACGGAGGCCTGGAGGAAAGGAGCTCTCCAATTTTCTTTTCACCACCTCGGAGGCGAGTGCTCCTGGATGTGAGAGGTTGCACATATCCTTCTTTAGGTAAGCCTGCATAAGTGCAAGGCATCTCATAAACAACGCTGTGTGAACTTTCCCTTCATGGATGGCAAAGATGGCAAAGATGCAGTGCTCCAGAAAGAGGTCGGATAGCTTCAGAAGCCAGAGCAGAAGCAGCGACTGCCTTCGCCCGCGTAGAACAGCGAAATAGATCAAGATCGCTAAAGCGACGGCAGCTTGGTGCCGCAGAAAGAGGTTCCGCGCATGTATGAGGAAGGCCGCAAATAGGATATGATCCAGAAAGTCAAATTGAAAGCCCCGTCTTCGGATAGACGTCAAGGTAAATGCGAGGCCTGGCCAGAGAGCCCGGCCTATTGGCGCTGGAAGCATAACGAATTGGGTATGCTGGAGGTATTCCTTGAGCGACATATGAACCAGTTGCAACCGCCGGGTTTTTGTGTCTGAGGTGCCGTCGTCCAGTTCCGAGAGCATGTATCTGCAGTTGTGCAGGTGTGCGGACACAGCAGTCGGGCAGATTCCTGTTGCAGCCGCTAGTTCCGTCTGCGTTAATGGCTCAAAGGCGACGCATACGCAGTGAATAAGCCTTGCTGCATCCTCCGGCCTGAAACCATCGCCTCGTCGACGTTTGCCTTGAAGAGCTTCGAGAAGCATGCGGTTGTAAATAGAATGCAGCCCAGTCGGCAGCAGTGTGTCGAGGATGTCCGCATCCCGACCATCCACAACCGCTTCCAGGGCCGCGCCGTCGTCTTTCAACATCCGCATTGCCAAAGCGACCCAGAGGAATGTTCCGTTTGCCCGTGTGGCCAAGACGTTCACGAATGACTCAAAGGCTTCGCCTTCCTGAATCCGGTCTTTGGCCTCCGAGCGAATGAATGTGCGGATGTCGTCCAGCGTCTGTCTTTGGTGTTCCCGATCGTCTAGATTTATCTTGAGGTCAGTGCCGGCGTCCACCGTTGACGGGCGAGTGGTGATTATCGTCTTGAAGTTTAGGGTGGCGCCCTGGGCGGAGCACGTCGCTCGCAACTTCTCGGTAAGATGTTCTCTCGACTCGAATTCGCACTCGTCAAGGCCGTCCAACACTAAATAGATCTGCCGCTGGAATTTCCCCTTCGGTCGGCCTGCTCCCTTCTCAAAGATTTCCCAGAGATCTTCGCGAGGAATATTAGCGGACAGGTCGGTATGAGGATCCTGGAATCGAGCCTGGACCTCCTCATGGAGGGACTTGTCATCGTGGCGATCTTCCAGAAGCTGATGGAGAAAGGACAAGAGAACGACTTGTGCGGTGTTACGTCGGCCGTCCCTGCTGTTGCAGAAGAACTTCAGAATCAATGCGCCCTCTCTTTTCTTCGTCAATTCATGAACAATGTAGGTGGAGAGGAACGTCTTGCCCTTCCCAGGTCCGCCGCTTATCCACAAGAGGTGCTGGCCTTGGCTCGTAAGCCAGTTTCGGAATTGCTTGTCGCCTTTGATCCATTCGCAAGTGCCCTCGGCGATACGCCCTTTGTTCGGTGGTGGCCCGATTTTTGAGAGGAGTGCAGCTCGAAGATCACTTCGTCGAATTGCTTATTTTGAACGTCAGACACACAGAGCGTTACGAACAGGGGTATGAAACCAACACGTAGAATCTTGAATGAAATTCCTGTCACTCAGACCGTCAGCCCGCCTAGTGATTATGGGAAGAGAGTGCGCATTGGATGTCTACTTGTAGTCGGAGCGCTTGCCACCGCCAACGTACATTTCCTCTGCCTTATTGAAGGTGCCTCCGGCAGCGACTGAGACATTGTCCCCATCTCCGTAGGCGGTCAACGCGTTGAAGGTTCCGGAACCCTCATTGACATTGTAGTGACTACCCTGACCAGACTGCAGCTTGCGGTCTGGCACGGACGGCTCTACTTCTGCCAGCTCATCTATCGCCCGTTGCAACACGTCAACTTGCGCCGCCAACTGGAACACCTGATTAGCCGCCAGATTTTTCACGTCACCCAAGATGTCCTGCATCAGTTCCTCAACCCTGTGGCCCTTGCCCAGCGGGATTACGATATCGTGATAGAGCCTCTTGACTGAACGCTCGGAATCCTTCGACGCCTTGATCTTCTGAAAGATACCCTTCAACTCCTGGACCTTGTCGCGGCACTTGGTCACAGTATCAAGAACCAGTCCGGCCGAACTGGAGTCAAGGCCCCCCTCGGCTTTGTTCTTGGCACGCTCAAGAGTGTCCTCAACAAGCGGCAGTTCGTCGTGCACTTTCCGAAATGCCGCTGGCAGTCCATTGGCGTCCTTGATCGCATCCCACACCGTCTTGATGATTCCGATGGCTTCAACAGTGACCGAAATGATGGTGATAATCTCAGGACCCGACATTGTGCCCTTCAGGAGTTGGGATGATGGTTTGGATATAGTGTGGCAAAATTGGGGTTCTTTTCGCCTGTCAGCAATACGCCTGCAGGACCCTCAAGGAACAGGAATTCATGGAAGTCTTACTGATCGGCGGTTTTGCAAGCGGTCAGCTTGGCGATCCTTGCTGGGCATGTTATTGTGTTCGCCACTTCGTTCAGGGTCGCAAATGCCGGACCGTGGGATTTATCAATGCCGTAGTCAAGCGGGGATATCAGTGCGGCTGAGGGCAGGGTACACGGTTGAAATTGGCCAGTGGGAAGCCGAGTTGGGGGATTACGACATCTAGCGGGATTTCCACTGGTGGATGATTCAGCAGCTTCGCACCATACACACCACTTCTTCATACGTGTGGTCAGCAGCTACGATATCACGACGCAGCGCACGCAAGACCGTGGACATCCACGGGTACCAAACCTTCTCCACCTACATCCGGAATATGAATGTTAGCGCGACAAGGGTCCAGTTGTTTGTAGCGCCCATACCCTTTCTAGCAGTTTCTGACAGCGCATAGTACGTAGCTAAGCGACAGAAAGGATACGAAATCACCTGAGAGGCGGAAAGGGTACGTACCGGCAGAAAAGCTAGGTACCAATATGGCAGAGAAAGGGTAGTTCAGAAACCGAAAGGGGCCCTTCCACTCTGCTAGAGCGAGTACTTTTCCCGCTGCACTCTCTCTTCTACGATCCCACACACCCACTCCAGTGCAACGATGGATGAGCTATCAGCAGCCGGCCATGTATGAAGGCTCTTACGTGAGCAAGCGCTGAACCACTCACCTGGGGAGGGCACATACCGGGAAGGTCGCACAATCGGCCGGCACTACAGCGGCGCTGCGCATGAGTGATACTCGGACTGGCATTCCGATAGGACGGCTGCGCTCGCTGGTGCGCTACCGAAGTCCCTGTAGATGTACATCCAGGCACACGAGGGGACGACGTGAAAGGCTACGCCCCCGCTTGTAAGCGCTTCAACCGTCCACACTCTGCGGACGAGCCGTCTAGGCAAGACTACCTTAAAACAGAAAGTGGCTCTGGTAAAATCGCAAGATTGGTTGGCGAAACTCGGCCCATTGTCTAGAGAGTGCATCGGCTGAGCTGCGGCTTCCAGCCTGTGGCTTGCTGAAAAGCCAATCTCCTCATTCCTCCCTCAAGCGTTGCCACTAGTGCCTGCAGCCCGACGCTGCAAGGCGAGCAAACAAATGGAAATGCTTCGTCGTTTGACGGCATGATGCTGCGGGAGCTGGTCGTTGTTCATCTAGCACACCTGGCAGTTGCTAACGCACGATACTTAATTGGCTAAGGTACGAGCAATATGTAGTTACTATAATTGGATAGCCAACGATAAAACGGGCGGCATCCTGAAGAGCTCTTTTCTCACTCTTCAGTCCTCGGGGCCAAACCGTGATTGGTGTGAGGGACAATGACACTCCACTTTCCTTAGTAATCTGTTGGATGGAACGGGCTGCCTGGAACTGGCATCTCCAGCCGCCAGGAGAGGTCCGAATGTTTGCATATGCGGCATCGCAGGATTGGCTAGCACAGGCATGCGAGACTGAGCCCAACCGGGTCAGGTGCAGGATGAGGGCTTTGGCATTTCTGGATTTCAGGGTCTCTGGCGCTCTCACATCTACAGGCAGTTGGGAACCACAGAGTTCCAACACCACACACAAGAACACATCACTGAACGACCCCTTCCAGTGCTCTTGCTCTGAGTAACTACCATCTGAAGCTCGTTGCCCATTGCCAAGAAAGCGGTATCTTCCAACATTATCTTATGAGCTGTACACACATCTCAGATGCAGCTGAGGCGCGAGCTCTTTGGACTCCCGTACTATTGATCACAGTGGTGCCGAATCACAGGCGTCCGGTTGGATTTCAGCTTGGTAGGGCGCTTCGCCAAGGATTTTAGCGGCTGTGCGGTGCTTGGGCCCAGAACAAGATACGGAATCCTCCTGCAGTAACTAGCAGGTGCCAAGATTTGATTGTTAATGATAATACCTGCTGCACTTGCCTTCCGCTGTCAGGTATGTAGGGTTGGTTGGTCTGCGGCCAGCCAACGGACGTTCGTTTTGGCTTGGCACACCAACACCTTCATTATCCTGGCCCACCACAGGCGGGGTAATCTATTAGCCAAATTCCAAATGTCATTGTAATAACTACTGTACCTTGGCCAGAAGCAGATCTGCGGAACCATTGATGCGATGGCGGATTGCATTTCCATCCCGCTCTCGGGCTAGGCCGCATCTGGAAGCGCATGCATGCTCGCGTTCGATACGCTACAAAGATTTTCCTTCCCCTCACATATCAGCCTGCTTCGATAAGCCCGTTTCAGAGAAAACCATGGCTCATCGCCCTCCTGGTCCTCGGTGTCCGAAAGAAACCGAAGGCCCCGATGCAGATCCCGCCCAGGCGCAGGCCGAGCCGGCCGCAGTGGCAGCCTTTGAACTCCCGGAGCCTGAATCTATTTCAGGTTGGGACAAACTTCCCCGCCTCCCTCAGAACACTGAGCCAAGATACAAGGTAAGGGATGTGACAATGCCGTCTTTTCCGTCCCGCCACTTACACCAGGCCATGTTTTCTAGGGTATCCTCACCGCCTTGGTCATGGCCATCGAGCAGATCCCGCCTTGCATCTACGTCGTGAATCTGCATACGGAGCCCATCAGGTGGTGGTATCCAAGCACCGTCCAAGTAACCCACCAAAAACTGCCCTGAGATAACCCATCGATAGTTACACAGTCCATCGTTTAGGGGATCGAAGCTTCATCCAACGGCCCGAGCACCTCGCACTCCGTTTTCCGTTTCGGTTACTCTCGGCTCCCAACCGGCGGGAGTGTGATGTTGAAGGAGATGATGGATGAGGGTTGCGGGCTCAGCCTCCCTGTCTTCATGGCAAATTTGATCGTTGCGCTGACCGCTGCCACATTTGGTTTCCCACTTCTCCTTTGGTCCGTCAAGGTCTGATCCATCGGGCTTTTTGTGGTTGGATCTCCCTCCAAGCATGTATGACAAGTCCCCGTACCGTTCCTTGCCTTCCCTAATCATGTCCCCGCGTAGGTGCTGGTACCGGTGGCAGTGGAAAAGGAAATGGCGCGTGTCCTCCTTACCTTGGCCACACTCGCATGGTCATTTGCCACTGCTCCAATCGTCGTGAAGAAACACCGAAGTCTGGAGTATCCAGTTCGCAGTTGTGCTAGTGTTTGCGCCTCCGCCGTCGATAGGGTGTCGTATAGAAGCCTTGCGTGCTTTCCCGGTAGTGCGGCGTTGACCGCCTCGAGATGCCTGCCGGTGGTCCATTCCTTGTCGTGACCAGTGCATGGTAGAGAGGCACCGGCTACGGCTGACGAAAAGCTGACGTTGAGCCAAGGCCCGGCCGTAGCCGGGCTCTCCGGGTCATCGTTGCCCTAGCTATCCTGGCCCGCCTCCTTGAGGACTAATCATTCGTCCCATGGTGGGGTCTTTGTCTTGGCGCCACCCACTTTGCTGTTGGTCAACCTGTTTTCTCCACTCCTCTGCTGGCATCCTGATCCGGACTAAATAACAAAGTAGGGATGGGAGGGGTTGTCCACATCCCACTGTCGATACCTGCTGGCCCAAGAGACGAGACGTTCAACTTGACATTGGGACCCAGGACGGAACAGAACCCGTACTCAGCAGAACTTGCAGCGGTCGGACATGCGTTGAGACTTTTGCGGAACGTCCGGTACCAGAGGATCATCCTCGCCACCAGCAACAAAGCGGCCGTATTGACGCTAAACAACCTACGCCAGCAATCAGGACAGCAATACATCTGTAAAGCATACGACGCGACGAAAGTTGTCCGGTGCGCCGGGAACACTATATCTATCGTCTGGATACTAACAACCGCCGAGAACGAACTCCTGAAGATAGCCAAGGGGAAAGCAAAGGAAGCAACCCGGCAGAATGCTACACTACAAGCCCGAGAATCCGGAATGCGATCAACAATCCTCCATAGAGCATGGGGCAAACGGACATTGCCCCAAACCCTGCCGGACAAAGTAGGTAGACACTCTAAGAGAGTACACTCTAAGAGGTCGATATAGCGCTCCCAGGAAAAACACACCCGACTGTTATACGACCACCTGTCGAGGAAAGAGGCCGGCGTACTCGCTCAGCTTAGGACGGGCATGGCCAAAATCAACTCATACCTCTATCGCATCCGAGCGGCATCGTCAGACCAGTATACGTGCGGAAAAGCAAAAGAGACGGTGGACCACTTCGTGGTTCGATGCAGGCAATGGACTGAACACCGGGCAGATATGCTTCAATGCACAGATATCCACAGGGGCAACCTCTCCTTCTTCCTAGGAGGGAAGTCGCCCTCGGATGACAAGAACTGGTCCCCAGATATGCAAGCGGTACGGGCAACTATACGGTTCGCAATGGCTACAGGCCGTCTGGACGCAGACCAACCACAGAACGGGACAGCATAAACCCGCCACCACTAACCCACCATCCCCAATCGGACCACCACCACCCACCTCGTGCTACGCCGAGTAGTCACGCTTCAACCGCCGAGGATAGGACGTTGAACACTTGGAGAACGGACTCCAAGCTGGCTTACTCATGATACTACTAACCCACAAGAACCCGCAGAAAGCAAGGCAGAAGATAGAGGACATAAGGTACAGGATGAGGTCGTATGGGCTTTTAGGAGACCAGGATCCATCTTAGGAATTGTACTCGTAGATGTTGTGATAGTTGCCCTTTCGGGTTAAGCCCGCCGGGCGGAATACATTATTTTTTTTTGTGTGTGTGTGTGTGTGTGGGTGTGTGTGAGTGTGTGTGTGTGTGTGTGAGTGTGTGTGTGTGTGTGAGTGTGTGTGAGTGATCCGGCGATGCTGTCGTGCTCAAGCAGCGCTGCAAGTCCTGCGAGAAGCTGGGTGCTCTGCGAATCAAAGTACCGCATGTTGAGATCAATCAACTCCACTATCCGTTGCGTGGGGGCCCGTACTCCTTGCTCCGGTCGGGTAGCTATCGCAAACTTTCCTACCCACCAACACCCAAGGCATTCACCTCCCGTCCAACCGGCAGCGTTCGAGTTGCTTTTTCGGTATCCAGCCTTTCATACGCTCGTTTTCTAGGGACTTTTTATAAAATCATTCAATATGTCTTGTGAGTTCCACTGTTGAGAGAGACTTTCGCTGCGAAGCGCAAACGCGGCGCGAAATCAAGCGGAGACATGCCGCTGTTTACCCACGTTTACCCCCGATCCCGTTATTCGTCCGCGTTCGCGACTCAACCTGCCGGACTCCAACAGACTCTTGCTGACATGACATGACATGGCTGCAGCCGACTTCAAGGCTATGGCGAGTGAGTGCACACAAGAGACACACAGCGAAGCACCCCTTTGATAGCGGGGGAAAGAGGGACAGCGATGATCTGACACTGGGCCTTCTTCGCCCCGCTTCGTAGCGAATTTCGTGAATTACTACTACAATACCTTCGATACCGACCGCAAGAAACTGGGTAATCTCTACGTATGCAGATCCTGTGGATGGCTCGGTGTGGAGCGGAGAAGAAAGCTAACGACCGCGGCCAACTGAGCAACAGAGGGAGAACTCAATGCTCATCTCTCAGGACAATGAGACGCTCGGGGCTGCTAGCATTGCTGAGACGCTTGCGGTAAGAAGGAGGGCGGGAGACAGACGCGCTGGCTGGACATTGCTGAGCTGTTTGCTGCAGGGCCTCCCATTCCAGAAGGTTGTGCACAAGTTCTCAGTACCCGACGCGCAGCCCACCCCCAACGGCGGCGTCATCATCCTGGTGATTGGGGAACTTTTTGTGCGTCGAACGCAAAGACCTGTTCGCAATGTGGTTGATGATACGGGCATGCACCCCTGCTAACACAGACGCCTGCAGGTCGATGACTCGACGGAACCTCTCGTCTTTTCGCAGGGTTTCCAGCTTTGCCAGGACCCGGCTGGCACGTGGTTCATCTCCAACGACATTTTCAAGCTGGTGGTCTTCTAACTAAACAACAACCTCTCTGACCTGTTACCGGCTTGGGGTATGGCGGGCTTCGGCAAAGACTTAGACGGGGATGCGGAGTCCAGCGTCTCCTTGGCTCAGTGTGGATCATAGAAGGGGGCGGGTGTGCTGCGGCGTCTTACTTTTGCTCTTGATGCTTGGCGAAGTGAGAAATGGAATCCCGGAGCGCACGGCAAGGATGGGGTCGTTCATGTTGACAAGCGGTTCTCGATGCTGGATGGATGGATGGATGGAATTTATTTCACGCGGAGGCACGAAGCCTAAAGAGCCTTGGCACGCTGACTACACCTCCGCCGGGGTTTTCAGTGCTAGTGCAGTACAGCCAAGGGCTCCCACTAGACGCACACTACGGGAGCACATAGATTCACGGGTGCCCGTGAGTATGACTAAGCCCACCTCCGCAGTTTCCTTCTCGGGCATAACGCGTCGGGACTTCTCTTCGCATAAAGCTCAACGCTATGTTATTACAGGCTGTGGGGAGCAACCAAGAACTGCAAAACTAATGACCTTCGATGCTTGTTGTGATTGAGGAAGATGACCAGATCTGGTGCAGGTTGCGGGAAGATGTGGGTGGCTGCCCCACAGCATGTCACGTGCATCCGCAGGGCCACACACGACACAGGCTCTGTCAAAGCCCGTCTTCCCGTCCCGGTGAAGAAACATCGGGGGCCGCCCGCGCAGGCGGCCTGGCACGGTAAAAACTGGAAGAGAAGTCCTTTGCGATCTGTTCTTTCATTCCCAAGGGGTTGCAGCACCGCACAGCTACTGCGCGGCCTGTTGGCGGCCGAAGACTTCGATTTCGAGGATCAGAAGTGAGGTTTCCGAGCGCCCCGGAAATCCCTCACTACCCCGCGCGACAACCGCGACTTACCGACACCAACGATAAGAATAAGCTGCAACAAAGTTCACAAGATTAGGGGGATACTGGGTACGAAAACCACCCGACTCTTTCGACGTTCTAAAGAAGAGATAGGGCCCCCGGCCCTGCCTAGTTCTAGGAGAGCGAAGTTGAGAGTCTTGGCGGTAAAACCGACCGGTAAGACGACGCTACGAGGACTAGAGCGAAAGCTATTGTACGACTCCGATTATAAGAGTTATTAATCGACCGAGAAGGAAGGTAACGGGTTCGTTAAGGGAAGGTATACGGGCGGCTGGCCTTCCTACAAGGCGCTTTGCCCTCTTGACAAATAGTATACTATAAAAGGAGGAACTATAATAGTAGATCAGGGTAGGTTAGTAGTAGTGCGATAGAGGGAGCTGCGCCGGTATAGCAGCTCTTTTCGACGGCCTATTGCAAGATATAGTCGGCACTACGGCTTCGGCCTTGTAGGAAGACCCTCGCAATATAACGGGAAGCTGGAAGTCGGGGTTGCACCCGGTAGAAGGTGGGCCGTAGCGGCTATATTAGACCGAAGGGAGCATAGTAGAGTTACGGTCCTAGCTCGTACCCGGGCTATAGGAGCAAAATGGCTATTACCTTGGCAGGGGACCTGTTAGACTATACGCGTGGCTAGGCCATGTCCCCTTGTCTCTGGGCGTAGGTTATAGTATAGGATGAAGCCGCGGATGGATTGTACCGGGTATAGGTGCCTCGGCTATAGAATAAATGTATGGTATCGCCGCCGCAAGGAAGCTATGGCTCCGAGGAGCAGTGTAGCTGGCCGGAGAGGATAGACGCGTATGTCGGTTCTCCAAGAGAGAGGGGGCTCTATAGATGCTAAGTACCCGGCTCGTACCCGGGCCCTAGCCCTACGTAGGCTGCTGTAGTGCCGCCTACAAAGCTCTATAGGGTTGTACCTCTTGCGGAGGGCTTAAGGTGTAAACCTTAGGGTCCCGTGGCCGAGAGGTCCAGTAGGGAGGCCTAGTCTAGCCTCTCTGACTAGGTTGCCCTACGAGGCAGGTCTGTGTAGCTAGTTAGCTAGTTCGTAGGGAGAACAATCTAGGGACTCTAAGGCCGAAGGAGTGGTCGCCAAACATGAAAGCGGTCCGAGAAACGATCAAGTATGCAATGGCGACGAGGAGATTGGATTTAGACGACGAACAAAGGCAACGATGGGACCAATCACAATAGCGGAACTACATTAACACTATATAGCCTCAACCAGCAGATCCCGCTTTAGCTGCTGAAGATGGGATGCTGAGCACTTGGAGAACGTAACCTGCAAGACGATCTGCTGAAAATCAAGGCAAGAGGCAAGAGGTATGGGGAAGCTTTGCGCAAAGAGCAACTCAAGGGGCTTGTGCGAGATCATGGGAGAAGCGGACGAATCGTGTGTAGTTAGCATGCCAAGGCCCTTTAAGCTCAGTGCCTCTGGGCGAAATAAATTCCATCCATCCATCATCCAAAGCCCGTCTTATAACAAAAGGTAAATCTAGGTAGCCCAATCTACTTCTCCTTTGTACTAACTTCAAGAGTCTGCGGCAATGTTGTCGCAATCGGTGCTAACGTTACCTCAACTGACTACGTAAGGTCCGAAAATGAGAAAGAACAAAGAGAAAGAGGAAGGAGCCATCTAGGCATGTCCTTATCCTAGGCCGTTACAAATATGAAGCTTGCTGCTCCTCAATATCCTTATCTATCCTCCTCCAGATATCGCCAACACCTCTCCTCCCAGTATCGAATGGTTCGTGTTCCCTCTCCTGGGCTACCAGAGCTTAAATCCTATCGTCTTCTAATCTGCTCCAATCGAGGTAGGCCATCATCTCCTCCTTGGTCCAGTCCCGTGAGCCTGTCGAAGTAGTGCAGTGCTTGGTCATCTGTTTATAGTCAAGACGCCACTCGTAGCTTGCCTTGCCGTATCTCAGGGGCAAACCCATTGCCTTCCGGTATTGCTGGTTGGTTTTGATGCTCCCAGGTGGCTGGGCTCTGTACCAAGTGTCTCTTGCCTTGACATATCTCTGATAGATTGCCCTTGGGTTCCAGTAGTTTAGTGAGGTAGAGGACAGACTCGACGAAGATGATAATGCGGAAGCCGGTGGGGGTGGAGGCGGCGGCAGTGGAGGCGGCGGGGGTGCGTCCTCGACAACAGGTTGGATTGATGGAGTTGTGGCGGTTGTTGCTTGCGAGGTTGCTTCTGGAGCTACAGCCGGCCGTAAAAGTTCTGCATACGTCTGAGGACACGCGTTTGAGGTCATTATATGACCCAGCGTATGGCATCGGCTGCATCTGGGTAATGCCTTGGGCCATGTTGCTGCCTCGACTGTTTCGAACTCGCTAGGCTCTCGCCTAGTACTTGATTGTGGTATAGTCGAATTCGCAGCAACAGGATCGATACGTTGACGAGGCTTCAGTAGCAACTGAGGAGCTCCATCACGTTTTAGATGCCAGTGTGAGGAGAAATGCTCAAGCCGAAGGACCGAGTTCTGCCTGAGCAACGCCTTCAAAGTGTGGACGCAGGGGAGTCCCATGGATCGAGAGAAAGAACCTGAGCAGGTTGGCGACATAGGTGGGTCTTTCCTGGTAAGGAGTTTCCGCTGCTCTTCGACTTTTCTCAAGGCCTCGTGTGATACCCAACCACGTACTCCACTGTACAGTGAACCAGAGAGCTCAATCGGTAACCGAATCTGCTGCTTGGCTTGGTTGGACTGGAGCTCCGCAAGTTGGTTGAGTAACGCATGCTTCATCGCCCTCCAGGCCTCAAAAAGATCTAACGTAGACCTCTTGAGATGCCCTTTAAGCAGCGCATGGATACCTTCAACACGTGAGGTTACCACGTTGCCAAAATGACGGTGTTGGTCAACCCAAGCCTTCACAAGCTTCTCCTTGTATGGATCGACCCAGTTGTCTTGGCATATCCGACTTCTTCGATGTAGTGTGGAAGATACCGCTTCTCAAGCTCTTCCACACGCTTGTCGAATGTCTCCTCATCTGGTGATCTCATGATTGAATGCTAGAACTTGTAGAATTCGTTCCAAGCTTCGGATCCTCGGTGCTGGCGTGTGAATGCTGGCTGGCAATGACGAAAAACTGCTTTGTTTGCATGCCATAAGCACAACAGCGAAGCGGCAGATGGAAAGCAGGTAGAAACAGCGTTCATGCATGCGATAGAGCGATCTGTTAGAATAACAGAGGGAACCCGAACATCGCAGACCTCGTCGAGCGATCTCAGCCGGTCCAGAGCCCAGAGGTAATCCTCTTCATTCTTGCCATGAAGGAATGCGAATGCAATGCAAAAGCATTGCTGGCAAGCATTGACCCCAATCATATCGAGGAGAGACATGCCGTATTTGTTGGTCTTGTATGTGCAGTCCAGTAAGAGGGTGTCTGGATAGGCCTGAAGATATGCCAATGAGTCCGGGTGGGCGAAGAGAACAGCTGTAACCCGGCCATCTGGAGAGAATTGTATCCGACTCCAGAATCCTTCATTGTCCAGCTGGTTGGCAAGTGCGTGCATGGTACTCTGGCCTTCGCGAATGTCTCGTCGTATAGCCGCAATTCGATTATAGATGTCCTGCTGGGTTGCCATGGAAGTGCCATTCTGCCGTACAAACGTTCTGATATACTTGGGAGCTACACCGGAGTTCGCAAGGCTTGCCAACTGGGTAGCATCATCCTTGGACAACTGCCGGTGTGCCGGACGAGCAGATGGATGCTGGCTTGGTTCATGATTGTGTGAGGAAAACCGCTTGTCGGGGCGATGCCTCAAGGACCAGGTACCCTTATCGGGAGATTCTTTGGCCAAGACTGAAAACTGGCAGCCTGTTCCTCGGGTGGTCGTCCTCCGTTGGCGTTCTTTCAACGCGCTGGGAGGACGATAGGATCGATCACATGTGTACGTAATCGTCTGTCTGCCGCTCTTTTCCTTGGTTGACCGCCCGGTGGTGGATGCGGAGCCTTTCGCCGCAGCCTATGCATTGATTGACGCAAACAGGGCATCGCTCGATTCGTAATCGCTTTCCGGAGGGAGGCAATCATCAGGTATATCTCAGCCTTTCCCTTGATAGAGTCTTCCGTTATCTTCCGGTGCTTGGCCTCGAACTTG